TTTATTCCAGTCACCATTCTCTGTCAAATATATATAGTTTTTTGCTAGCACTCCAGTTTTATCATTTCCCTGTAAATGTAACTCATAAGTCAAAATGTTGTGGTCCGAAAAATTTGTTTCTCTAGAAATTGTCCAATTTTTTACAATATTATGTCTAATCAGTTTTGTATTAGATAATGTTAAATCAATATTACTACTGCCTCGCGGCCCTTGGAAAGTCATTAGTTCGGAATTTATATTCATTAAGAACAAATCTTTCTCAACAATAAAAGTTTCCATATTTTTACCCCTTTCGTTAGTTTGTTTGTCGAACCAATATTTAGATCTTGCATTGGAGTCCAATCCAATAATGATATTAGAATCTTTGAAATAATCCAAAACGCGTTCTATTTTTTGTAAATCCAAATTTATGTTTCGGGTGATATCAAAATAAGCACATATTATTATACATTTTAATTCACTGTATGATATTTCTATGCAAACAAAATCACAATCAGAATGTTGCAATATCATGCAGGCATCAATGTTTTTATTGGTCACAACGACTCCAGCCCTGGGATTGCTTCCTATTGTTTGAAAAACCCTTGACTGATTATAACCTACAATTTTATTTAATCTTGTATAAGGTTCTTGGATTAATAAAACGTCTATTTGTTTCATTTTTATATACTGTTGTAGCATGTTCAATGTGCATTTTGAATGATGTGTGTTGAGTTGTAACATGTTTAATTGTCTATGTACCATCCTTAAAAATTAATTGTTTACAGTCCCCAATAATATTTTGAAATATGTATATATTATGGTTATTAATTACTCACTGTAGAGGGATGTTGTAGTTGGTATTAGATGCCAATTTCTGTATTTCTGTCAAGTACGACGGGCAGTTTCGGTCAAATACAGAATGTTCTGTGGGGCGCTTCTTTTGGCTTTTAGTGAACTTGTTGTAGTTTTGACAAATGATACATTTCATTTCTTGAGAAGTGCAGTCACTAGCCGCGTGTTGACCTCCGCAGTTCGAGCATGCTATCGTCCCTCTGCAATCCTTGCTTCTATGGTGAAATTTAAGGCACTTGGTGCACCTTCTTATTTGGAAATAATCCTGAATTCTCACCTTTTGATGTCCGAGGCTGATTTTATTATATAATAGCAATTCTCGAGTCCCTGCGTCAACCTCCAAAACAGCATGCCGACTACTATTCTTTCTTGTAGTGAGGATAATCACAGGTCTTATTTTATCCTTTTGTAAATGAATATCATCATATAGAGCAGTTATGTAGTCGGTTATATTCTGTAAATTTATTTCTTCCTCAATGTTTCTCACAACAACACGAGGGTTCATTTTATTTATTTTATGGTATGATATTTTTCTTGAGCCTTTTATAGTTTGAGCAATTTCGTTGAGATCTTTCTCCCTGTCGGTCTGTATTATTAATGATCCGTTTTTTGTTTCTACAACCTTTTGAAAACTTATGTGTAAATCTTTTGGATTTACTAAAGACTTAAATTCGTTACAAAGTTCATTCGGTTCTAATGATATTTTAGGTTTAATAATTGCCTTATGGGCTGTTCGATTTTGTGCTTTCATTACAACCCTTTGGGCAACTGCTGAGTAACTAATTTTGTTATTTAAAGAGAGGTTGTCTTTTTTAATAACCTCCCCGATTTCCAAACTAAATGATTGGTCACAAAGATTACCTATATAGTTTTCCATCACTTCGATAGCTTTTCCTACCTTCGGTCGCAGGTCTTTTCTCAAGAGATTGTAATCCAAAACCTCTTTTAAAGTCTTGATAGCGTAATTTAAATTCAATACTTCACCGGTCATTTTGCTGGAGACCTGCTTGTGATGAGACTGAGACAGAAGAGGGGGCTGACAGGAAATTTCTTGCAGATTTTAGCGATAACGGCTGCAAACTTCCAACGAAATACCTCTTCATGTATTCCTTCACAGCTGCTCTTACACTCTTCAGAACACCACCGAAATTTGTAAAAGCATTCCTAAATAGGAATTACACGAGTATACAAAAAATCACTTTTATAGGGAGTGTATAACTTAATAGGATTAAAAATGAACACAGACCCGAACTGACGTTCAATACTGCCAAAGTCAGACTATATATATATATAACCTCATTATTTTGAAATTTTGGAAATGTAGGTCACGCCAAACGACTCAATAATTTTGAACACCACCTTTTTTTTTGATTTTGTGATTAAGTTATCTTACGATTCAAGTAGAAATCAAATGTGTATTTATGAGTTTTTAGTACCTAGTAAATAGACAAAGTTTGTCCCCCTCTAAATTCAAAACTTCCGAGTGTTTTCATACATAAAATAGTTGTAGGTTATGATGAGATGAAGCTATTTATGAAGTTTCAGACCGATGTTAATAATTCGATAAAAAGTCGTCTGTACCACGGACTATTAAATTTATTTTATTTTACTATTTACAAATTACCAAACTGAAAAATTTGCAAATAAACATAAATGAAATGCATATTAACAAAGAAAGTTATGAATAATTAAAATTTGAAGCAAGTGTACAGATATAAAGTTTTATCTCATGGTTTAAAATTATTTGCTAGAATGTTGAAATGGGTTAGTTAGTTGGTGACACCCTGTGAGATAAAACATCTTTTATCTAGTAATTGCCTCAGAAAATAGATAATTTAAACAAAAGTTTTTTATCACAACGAGGTTTCTTGATTTACATTGTATTATACAAAATTGTGAAAGAATAGTTTCTTTATTAGTTTGCCTCTATACTAATCTAACTTGAATTCCACTAGTCAAAATTTATGTTTTGCATTATTCTCGTGAGAACAATAGCTAAATTTTCTTATTTTGTATTTGTTATAATTGTATTGATTTGATACTAATTTTTAGTTACTTTGCTAAAATATTATTTAAGCCTGCAATTTTCATTCCTTGAACTATTTACAAATATATTTTCTCAGAATAAGATTGATATATTTTGTAATTTTATTAAATATATTAAACAAATCTTTTTCTGTATTATAATAAGGTATCTGAACTGAAAATATTTGAGAAGCTATTCTTAATAAAGTGATATCAAACTCATTATTTATTATTATTATCATGCTTAGTAATAATCTTCATATTCTTCCTCCATCTTCATAAATGGCCGAGAGGTGGCCATATAAACCACTAATCAGCTGCCATTTTGAAGCTATAAGGTGGATAGATCATCCTGAAATAACCTATAGTTCTGATCCTGGATCTTGACAAAATTGGTCTAGTGGTCCCAGAGAATAGTCATATACAATTGGATTATTCTTTTTATTCAAATTTTTGGATTCTTTGTATCTTGAAACTTTTTTTTTCTATTGTCATTACAGACCATGTAGATCTTTTTCTGCCTTAATCCTTAGACTGCGGTAGCTCATTTGAGAGTTTCTACCATACATTGCATCCTGAAATCTACAAAGACATCCAAAAAAAATGGATTTGTACAATTTAGTCTATATCCTTGCGCATAATGTTCCCATTTCGATTTTTTTTTTTTGTAGGATATTTGTAACCTTTTAATTATTCATGGATTTAATTCACCCTAAATTGCATACTTTCCCTGTTATGGCCAAATTAAGTTTGTTTTTCTGAGATGTTGGGTGTTGTGTTTAGACAATCTTTAAAATGATGCTCCGATAATTGGAACTAATGAAGATATGGCTAAATAAAACACCAGTGAGAAAAATTATATAATATATATTGTATTTATTTTTAACGATGGAAACTTTTCAACCACTTAAGGCCCATTTTTGCTCTTATATGATATTTATATTACACAATATAAAAATTAACATTAAACTTCAAGGTAGAAAACATTAACATTTACAAAAAATAAAATTGTTATATAGTTGGATTTTGTTAATAAATAAAACAATTTGAATGCCATCTTCGTGTTGTTTTTCAAAATTTCAGCAATATTATTTTCCTACTCCACTTCACTCCAATATTCTTTATAGGCACAACGCTCAGTCTAGATGTGCATCACTGTGATATTTACCATGCAGGAAAGAAACTCACTTTAATAATAAAAAATTGAAAATAAACATGAAGTAAAAATAACGATCTAATAATTTATATACATATTTACAGTCGTAACTATTTACAATTTTATGAAGACTGGATGGATAAGAAATAATTAAACATTTGGGATTTAAAGGTAGGAAGGGTTTTGGATTGACGGATGTGGGGAGGGATGGAGTTCCATAGGGAAGAGGATCGAATCATAAAAGATTTATCGAAAGCAGCGGTTCGGTGGGCCATTATATATAAATCTGAAGACCGGGAACGATCATTGCAGGAGTGGACAGAGGATTTAAATTGAAGGAGCTCGGCGATGTATTAAGGATGGCGGGAGTGAATTACTTGGAAGAGGAAGGATATAATTTTTTTTTTCTACTGAGACATTCATTGTTACGTAGGGGCTTCCAAATGGACTGCTATGAGCTACATGCCCCACCCATCATGGGATATAGATTGATCAGTTCCTGTATGCAATTCTTTATTGGTCTTTCTTCTACATGTGTTAGTACTCTGATCCCAGATCGCTCCGGTTATCGTGCTTTGGATTTGTCTCTGAAATCTTTCAATTATTTTCTCTAGGATGCTGGTTCGTGTCCAGGTCTCACAGCCATATATTATAACTGGCTTTATCATAGCATTGTACACCCATAATTTCAAATTTTATCAGTTTTTCAATACCCTTCAAAGGGAGAAGAAAGCTCTGTTTGCACTTATTTATCTTGAAAAATAAAACCTCAAATTTTGGATATTAATTTTTTGTTTCGATTAGAAAGTTTCATTGTTAAAAATAATAAATAAAAAAAAAAGTTAATGAAATAAATGAGTTCAGGCAGTATATTTATATATTTTTTTTTATTTATCAGAACAATTTACCTTACGATGCCATTTATTCCGTCGACTTTGTATTGTATAAATTGGTTGTTATAAAAAATTTTTGTTTTATCGTGAAGGTATGCCAGATGTTGATGAAGATGAGCTAGCTGCTGAATTAGAAGCTCTTGGTGATGAAATCGCTGCCGACACAGATACTTCATACCTTGATGAAGCTGTTATACCTCCTACTCCAGACAAAGAACCACAGCAACCTCAACCTCAAAAAAACAAGGTACTATATTTGTTTTAAAAGGAGAATTAAAGGAATTGCTAAAAAAAAAAAATAATAATTTTTATAATAAACGTTATTGTATGTTTATACATAGAGATTTAAATGTATAGAGAGTTAAAGAAATATAATAATAACGAATATTATAAAAATTATTTTTTTCTGCAAATTCCCGGAATTGACATATAAAGTTATAATTGATCTACCTTTAGAACCGTTAGAGATAAACTAGTAAAATAATATATATTCTTAAAGAAAATTTAATTATTATAAACTTTCTTCCCCATGACTTAATCGTAAAATGAAACAATCATGAATTAGCTAGTTTAATACAGTAAAAAACATGAGATTAAATTTTTTTGTCCACACTACTGATAGCTGAGGACGGATATCTCGGAAACTAAGTGAGATAGCAAAAAATGATATATATGATGTCTTTGTCGATGAGATGAATAATTTTCCTGATATAAGCAAAAACTAAAAAAAAAAGCAATAAATACGATGCAAATTTTTTTGTTTCAAAATTGGCCATAGTTGAGGACAAATATTTCGAAAACTAAACTAGGTAGCGAAAAAAGGTATATTATCAATCATATTGCAAATTTCATCAGCTTTAATTTTGTATAGAACAACTTTGTTGATGCAATGGATAGTTTTCCTGATAAAAGCGAAAACCCGAAGAAAGTGACTTAGGTGCCCCCTCCACATCTTTCTCACCACCTAGCACTTTTAGTATGTTCACCTCCTTACTCATCCAAACAATGTCCCAAAGTCAAAAATTTTTTCTCTGCCATTTATTTCTATAATTATTCATTGACTGGACTAAAACTATAACTCTACTAGCTGTAATTATATAATAACATAGAAATGCAAAACACTACTAGAAAAGGTTTTTTTAAAAACAGAGGCCCCTTAAACTGGTGTTCCATCCAGGACGACTTATCTTAAAATCATATATATCAGATGCATCTTTATTTTAATTTTATAATTTTATTTTTGTACTTTTCATTTATTCACTAATCAATATTTATATTAATCTTGATTTGTATTAATATTAATGTGTCTTTTGAATAATGATTGTTATGCATTAATTCTTTTAGGACGGTGTTGCAGTGGATGAGTTTGGCTTACCACAAATACCAGCATAACTATAAACCAATTCATGGTTGGAAGTATTATAAAGTTGATATTTTACTGTCGCTGAAAGAAATTTTTTTTTTTTTGTTTGACGTAATATATTAAACTGTTTTAATTTTTTTAATTCTCTAGTGCTTCTAAGGAAGAATCAGCTCATTGCTTTTTATGATACAAAGCGGAAAAAAAATTCAGTTAAATTTTATATTAGTTTATTATTTAATAAAGGTGGTTGAAAGTATAGATGATAGAAACTTAACATTATTAAAAAGATATCAATATTGTATTGTAAATCCAGAATATTCTCGGATCACAAGAAATGTGAATGATGAACAAATAATTATTTGGATGTACAGCCTGTCATAAATGATTATTTTGAATTGCATGACAATATATTTACCATCAATTCTCTTAAAATAAGAAAATATAATGCATTATGTTTTTCTAGAAAATATATCTTTGTACTTATATATACCATTTATAATTGTTTTACACTCAAAATAAAAAATATATGTTTTTACATAATTATATCTAATGTTACCATAATTTTTATTTATTATTTGCACCTTTTATTAGTTTGCTCATTGTAGTAAATTAGGATATTATTGATTATAATAATCAATCAATTGTAGATTAAAATTGGACAACTATGAATCCCAAGAAAACAAATAAAATAATAATATTCTTTAAAAAAAATTATAAAATTATATTATGAAAACATAATGTTACATTTTGTCTATTTAAAAAAAAAGTTATTAGTGAACACATCAACTTACAATTAGTTTCATAATTCTCTGTTGGAAGCATTTATGATACAAAGCGTATCATAAATGCTTTAATTTTTAAAAAAATACTCAGTAAGGTGCTATTCATTAACTAGGATGTAAAATAGTCAAAATGGTAAAAAAAAAAAACATTCTAAAAATTAAACAAAATATAGAATACAAACATAATTAAATATATAAAATTAAACTAAAATAAGATTTGGGGTGACCGCCCACCAGGGAAAGGCATGCTGCTCGAAACTCTCCCTCCCCTCTCTCCGGGTATGTGAGACCCCTCAGCCTACTGGAGGCAACTCATACAGACCGGGCATAGGACTGATGACCCTACCCTGTGTACTTAAATCAGGAATCGGGATGTGGTTTACCAGGATGTCAGTAACTCCCTGAGGTGTTTTTTGTAGACAGTCTGTCTCGGGGAAAGAAATATAGGTCCTCATGTGCCTGCTGACTCTGAGCAGCGATAATCCATGGATCTAAACTGATTTGTCACTATCCTCGAACCCGAGTGAGTCGGTGGGAAGGACACTGCCAGATTGGCCCCAAATTTATCGGCTATGGAGCTACGAGTGTCCTACTGCTGCACCTTGGAGACCATGTTTCGTAGCAATGTGGGGTTGGGTGACTCCTTCCAGATTATATGTGCTCCCGCAAGCAGTATACGTCTGGAAGGAGACATCTCGAGGCCAAAGATCATCATGGTCTGTAGCGACAACCCGAAAAAAAAAAAAAAAAATACAATGCATTATATCTCCACTATTTTGATATTTACGTTTAAGGAAAATAACGGTTTATTGATATACTACAAGAAAATCTTTGAATATATTTTATATTTATATATTCTTTATTTCTTCATTGGCTTAGTGAGCCATACCTGGATATTTTAACATGTGGATGAAGAATGTTTACCAGTTGGCACAGTGGGAGTATAGTTTCATAAAAAAGAGATCCCTGAAGATAAGGACTGTTTATAACTTGATTTTAAGCTGACCTGCCCAACATCTTATATTGCAGACACCCGTATTGCCTACAAGGCACGGCAGGGTTTTAAATAAATAAATAGATTTATTTCTTCATTTATCCCAAGGGAGATACTTATTTTCGAGGTATATAATAAGTGAGAATATTTGTTTCAGTGATTTATTTTCCCAAAATCATTCCACTCAATTACATCATAAGTTTCGGGATCCACTTTTATACCCCATTTTCAGACTAGAAATTACAACGTTATCACTATCAACAATTATATACAAACAATACAGCATTTATTAATATAACTTCGAACAACAATAATTTAATTTTGTTTGCCAATCTTACCAGTATCCCACATCATCTTATTCTCCATAAGACTTGTCATATTATATTATTTTTTTATTATTGTCCTATTCCTAAAATGCAGTAATTTTAAATTTATTATTTATTTAATTATTACTATTATTATATGTATTTAACTATTTTTAAAGTTAAATATATTACCTGGAAATCATATTTTAGTCTCCTCTAGGGGGAGCCTAGTCAGATACTGAAATAAAACTTTGAGCCACAGGTCAAACTCCAATTCTTTTATTTATTTTTATATATCTAATTTGTTTATTACATAGGTATAATGTCTCGCTATTTTAGCCGCATCAGTTTTAAAATTAATAGCTGTTTTATTATGTTTAATAATGAATATTGACTCTATTACTTTTCTATGTGTACTGTGTGTTTCCTTATGTAATATTTGTGGTTGTGCTACGTTGAAATTATGTCTGTTAGTAATACTATGATGAGCTAAGGCTGTTTTGTTGTCTGTTTTACTATTTTTTGTATCATTAAGATGCTGATTCATCGTTTTTTTTTCCATGTTTCGTCTTTTTTCACCAATGTATGTCGCTTCACAATTATTACAATCCACCTTTTATGGAATGATTTTGGTAGAATAAATCACTGAAACAAATATTCTTACTTATATACCTCGTAAATAGATTTAGTTTAAAAAACTGTAAATTAAATGAAAAATAATGAAGTAGTAAAAAAATAAAAAATACATGCTATGGAAAATTGCCAATCTTACATAGGTCTGCATTAATTTAATATTTATGCGATGATCCCAGGATGATTAAGATGAACATTGATGTATTTTACTGTTTCATTGGGGAAATTCAACTACTGTTGTGTTACTATTATGAGTCTGTTAAGGTGGCTCTATTGGAATAAAAGCCCTAAGCATGGCATTTTTCAACATTGAGATTGATCATTAATTTACTGTAGTGTTGCTCTAAATCACTAAAGTAAGATTGAATGGTATGTACAGATGGTCATAAACTCAGCATTTCAAATTTGAGATTTAGACTGTTTTCCTGGAACCTTATTCTTCCAAATTTCAAGGTATTAATTTTCGGTTCTGTTACATCAAATTAATTATTAAAACTGCCACGGTACTTATGATGTAAGTAATGTATATATAAAACATTGAATATACCAGCACACCACTGACTCATAAGAACAAGAATAATCCTAAGTGCATCAGAAGGACCAGAAAGTAATATTTTTGAGCCTGTCACTATTTGGTTGTCATTTGGCAGCTTGTTGTATACATCTAAATCCTGGCAAAGACATTTTAAGGTTATAGTGACTTTTTTAATTGCTGATAATTAAATTAAATTTTTTTTGCAATTATTGGTAAAATGGTCAGACAATACAAAAAGTCTTACAAACCCTTGTTCGACCATCCAAGAACATATACAGCAGATCGGGAAAATATTATATGCAAGTTATGGCTTCAATGGCACAATAGAGAAGCGTTTTTTGATCACACAAGATGAAAAATGTATTCTGTATGGTAATACAAAAAGCAGTGACTCTCTTCAAAAAAAGCACCACGAAATACTGCTGAACCAGGTTTACACCCCTAAAAGGACTTTTCATTTGGATTATTCATGACGTTCATTCACAAAATGTGAATACAGACCTTTACTATGAACAATTGGATTGTGTAAATCATTCTTTAATTAAAATTGCCATGGTTGTCAACAGAAAAGGCATTATTCTGCAACGCAATAATGCAAAATCTCACTGTGTAAGACAAAACCTGGAAAAAATTGGGATGGGAGATATTGACTCACCCACCATACTCGCCCGATGTTCCACTATCAGATTTCCATTTTTTCTTATCATTTCAAAACTTTCTATGTGGCAAAAAATTTGCAAATTTGGATGGTGTACAAAATGCTCCCTATATATATTTTGCTTAAAAAACCAATTGATTTTTATCGACTCCATATTGGAAATTTGCACACTATATGGCAAAAGGTTGTTGATAATGAGGGTTATTCCATCATTGATTAAAATTAAAAACTTGTGTGAAATGTTGATGCAGAGAGGTAGAGTGTAACAGTGGATATTACACAAATTCATAAATTTTAGAAAATTCTTATTATTCATAATCCTAAAAACAACATAAAATTTTAATTTATTTAAAACCTCTTTTATAAAATTTTTCGAGATCAAGTACAATCTTATTTGTGTTAATTTTCAGTGTATTTTATAGTAAAAATAAAATGAAAATTCTTTTTTTTTCTTTTTTTTTTTTTTTATTCTAATGGAATTTACAACTGTATTACATAGAAAATACAATAAGTAAATGTGAAATTGGTTACATGACATGTACAACATGAAGAGAAACTACCCATTAGTAGAACTCAAAGAAAATTCTAGGGAAATTATCTTATACATAAGTAACAAAATCCCTATTCATTTTTGAGCAGTTCATATTACCTTCATTTTGGCCATTAGAGAACAATATCCTCTTCAGGAAAACTGTATGATCATTTAATTTTACTTCTTTGTTTTAAAATGTTGTGTTTATATTTCTACTCAAAACAAAAAATTTTAAAAAGTCTTATTATTTTCTTTGTTCTTTAATTCTTTACTTATTAGTTCATAGCCTATTATTAGTTCATAACCTTATTTGAAAACATTTCTGTTCAAATTCAATTTCAGTCAATTTCCTTTCTTATTTTTTAATAATTCTTAATTTGTTTACCCATTCTTCATTCAAAACCTTGAAGAAAAGGTCGAGGAAAATCTTGTATTGAATATATCCCAGCAACCTCAAATATTAAAATATTATATTGTTCTGTTATAAACTTCAAAACAATAATGAAAATTTTCAAAAATCTCCCTTTTTATTATATTTAAATCGGTTATTGCAGAAACTATACTTATGAAATATGCATGATTTTAAGAAAAAATAAATATTATAGTGATATTTTAAAACATGAAAATCTGAAAAATATATGGCATAAACAATCAATCTTTACATTATTTAGGCCATTTTTTTAAAAAGATTAGATGTTAAATCTTTTTTTTTTTTCAATTTTACACTTGTGTTTCTTTATTTTTTCTTTAATTATAACTATATGAGTAATGATTAAAGAGTTAGCTTATCATTTTTGAAATAATGAACTTTTATTTTACTTAACTTGAAAAGGCTAAAAAATAATTATAATAATAATAAAAAACTTAAAACATTCATGACCATAAAATTTCTTTATTGTATCTTGTATTCTATGTATCATGAAATATGAAACAACATATTTTGAGAAGGTTGACAATGTTTTTCTGTTTTAAAATGCTTTGAATTGATTTTTTTCAAGGAATGGATTATGGAATATGTCTATGATCATCAATGTATGAAAAACTATCTTAACTCAATACTGATAAAAATGAAGCAGAAATTTGGCTTTCTGTAGATCACGATAGCCTCGCTCTAAATCTTCAAATAACTTTGCTAGTACCTTTTCTAAAGCTAAATTGAGACTCTTATTCAAACAAAATTTCTAAGCAGATACAGAATTGCCATTTTGCATCTTTAATTTTTATTTTAACCTCAAATAAATACCAAATTTCTAATATAAATTGGAACTTCTAGCTTATAATGCATGATGCGCATTTGAAACAATAACGTCAATACTTAAATTTTTAAAAGAACTTTGTTGTCAAAATTATAGCAGTTCCTCTTCCAAAATATTTTTTTTTATAATATTATTTTCTAAAAATTGTTTCTTGTCATAATTGTCATTTTTTGTTTATTAATTGAATTTTCAACCCATCAAACTATAAATTTTTCCAATATCCTGATGGTTTATAAGAGTAATAGATACAGTATATTTGATAATGCTTAAATATCTCAAATAATTTAGAGACAGCTGTTGAGATAAACTTTTTTAAAGTATCTGCAAATGATTAAAAATTATTTCGGAATATATGTTTTTATATTTACCTTAGTTATTACATTCTTGAAGTAGTCATCTAATAATCATCATTGACTAATGAAAAATCAGTCTGTTCCATTATTTTTAAGGATGTTCTGTTTTTAGATTAAAACGATCTTATTTTTAAAAATTTCCTTATGAAATACTATATCCTAGAAAGCTAAGTTACTTCAGTTCTGTCAACCAATCAGAACTTGATTGTATATAATGAAACATTGATTGTCTCTTTTAACTTCTGTGGTAATGATACTGAATTGTTGAAACATCATCTGTAAGAAAAATCAAAACATTTCTATTTCTTTGAGAAAAAGTTAGTCAGGGGATGCGGTCAATGTATAAACTCTTACATTATATAATAGTATTTTTTTATTGAATTTTTTAACAGTTCGATCTATGTTATCAGGGTGTTCCATCGGGAACTGCCGGAAGCACCATGTAGATAGTACCAGATGGACAGTGCCAGATGAAATGTCCTGAAGAAGACCTCTAACATAGATCAAAAAGTTGAAAAATTCAATAAAAAATACTATTATGTAATTTAGTAGTTTATATATTGACTGTACCCCTGACTAACATCTTCTCAAATTAGATCTTCGTTCAACTATCTCTACACCAAGTCTAAGTGTCTAAAAATTTTGTAATTAATTACTGTGTATTCAACAGAGCTGTAAAAATATATTTATTTGGCACATGCTATAAATATTTCTTTTACATAATGTTGTTTTATACAGGATGTCCTGTAAGTAGAGGGAAATTTTTATAGCAGTGATTTCAGACCTCATGAGCTACAAAAAAGTTCATATAAACAATGGGCCGATTTTCAGTAGAAAAGTAGCAAATTCAAGCTTTGTGGTTTTTAAGTGAGCCATATTTTTCATTGAATCGAAAGTAATAATTAAAGAAATATTTAATTTATGTAATTAATAATTGCTTCATTGTAAGCAAGATGAAATTTACTTTAAATGAACATAGAGTTTATCATTGTTAAAACCATTTACAGAGGGCTTTTGAGCGGCTAAATTAAGCTAAGTTCTATTTTTAGAAAAATCATAAGTTATTCGCCATTCTTTTTTATCATCACCCAACTATGCTACATTTCCTCCACTTTTACAAAAATAAATCTTCGTTTAATATGCTTTAAGTTGGTAATAATTAGGTTGAGGTATAAACCTGGGCAGTTTTACACCTTAAAGAAACAAAATTTGCAATTCAACTCAAGTTTTAAAAAAAAAAAAAAATGATATTTTTTATCCTGATAAATAAAAGTACCCCTTTTAGTGTTTTCAGCAAAAATTACTACAATTAGTTGTTGCAAAGCTTTTATTTATTGTTTTTCCTTGATCTGGAATATATTTTAATTAACCCAATTGCCTAAACACACATTTTATTTTTCCAAAAAATTAATAGGAAAAACACTAATTTTTTCAAATATTTCTTCCAGTAAATTGGTTAACAACTGTGTTCTTCACCTAGATCTCTATTTTAGGAGTTTATCCGAATTTATAAGTGACAAACTAAATGTTTCCGACTCTAATATTATCGTTTTAATTAAATTAATTGAAGCAATCAGAAGTTTTTTTTTTTTTATTTTAAACATAAATTTTAGGACTAGAAAATTTTATTTTGTCACTCATAAATACAGATAAATTCCTATAATAGAGATCTGGGTGAAAAACACCAATTTATCCGAAAAATCAATATTTTTCTAATTATTTTTGTTTGTAAATAAAAAGTGTGTTTAGGCGATTGGGTTTATTAAAATACATCCCAGTTCATGAAAAAACAAGAAATAAAAGTTTTGCAACAATTAATTGTAGTAATTTTTGCTGAAAACAGGGTAAAAACAGAGTAAAATACTTTTACTTGACAAGGTAAAAAATATAAATTTTTTACAAAACTTGAGCTGAATCTCAAATTTTTTTCTCATAAACTTCAACTTAATTAACACCAACTTAAAGCTTATTAAATAAAGAAGTTTTTCTAGAAGTGGGGTAACTGTTGTATAGTTGGATGATGATAAAAAAAATAATGGCAAATAACCTATGATATTTCTAAAAACAGAACTTAGCTTGGTTTAGCTTAGCTTAGAGTTTAGCCGCTCAAAATTCCTCTGTAAATGGTTTTAATAATGATAAATTCTTTGTTAATTGATAGTAAATTTCGTCTTTTTTACAATTTAGTCAATATTAATTACTTAAATTAAATATTTCTTTACTTATTGCTTTCGATTCAATGAAAAACATGGCTCACTTAAAAAAATACAAAACTTGGATTTGCTACTTTTCTGCTGAGAATAGGCCCATTGTTTTAATGATTTTTTTTGTAGCTCTCGAGGTCTGCTATCATTCCTATAAAAATTTCACTCTACTTACGGAACACCCTGCGTAATTTAACAAGGATACTGCGCACGTTCACTGTACTTGATATTTGTTTGTGGAGTAGCCCCTTTGTGAAAATTGATTGACTCTATAAGTGCTGCTACATCATCTATAGCATCTTCCAGAATTCGTCTCCATTGAATTGTAGCGAACAATAGAAAATGTTTCCGTACCCATGGAGGTGGTTCCTCTCTTGGATCAAGATACGGAGCTGGATCACCCCCAGTATAAACTTTTTTTTTTTCATTTTCAGTTGTCGGTTCTTGATCCTGAAATTTTATTTTTGATATTAGCAAATCAAAAAAGTTATTTACCTTGAAAGTTTTGAATGAAAATACATGACTATACCTTCATTTCTTGTTTTTGTAAGTCAGGCATTACGCCTTTTTGTTGCTTTTGTTCTTCTTTTCCCAATTGTTTGCTTTGTGGTTCTTTTTTTTTCCGTGAATCTATTCCAAGTTTTCCTCTGCTCTTATCCTTATCAGTAGATAAGAGACGTTTTAGTTTGTCTGTAAAACTTTTTAAATACTCCCTTTCTTGTCCATCATCAATTACTTCTTCTTCTTCTATTGACAATTCATCCTCATCTTCCTCCTCCTCCTCTTCTTCTTCTTCTTCATCTTCCTCCTCCTCTTCTTCCTCATCTTCTTCTTCTGCATCTTCATCAGAAATATCTTTTTCAGTCTCTTCTTCATTTTTTAAATTATTACCACTTTCCCCATCTTCATTTAATAAAGTAGACATTGAAATTTCTTCTTCTGACATTTCTTCTTCATATAGTTCTTCTTCTTCTACTTCCTCTAAAAAATATATGTTTTTCTCCTCTTCGGCTAAATGCTCTTCTTCAGTTTCTTCTTCAGCTTCACCCTCTTCTTCCATTTTGTCAACCTCAAGTTCTTCTCTCGAATCATCATCTTTTACAAATCTTATACCTAATCCAAGATTGAGATTAATAGTTTTTGTCCTATTTAATACATCATCTCCAAATTCTTTTATCATTTCATTCTCGATTTTTGCTAATTTTGCTTCATCTTCTTCAGTATCACTTTCTTTTCTCCTTTCGTTGGTCTCATCAAAGTCAAAATTTTTACGCGTTTCGACAAAGCTTCCTTTATATTCTTCATTTGGGCCAGGGGGCTAAAACAATAGAAATATATTTCTTTATTTTAAAAATGAATATTTGTCATAACTTTGTTCATGACTAATGGTGAAGAAATTATTTATCACGAAATGAATGTGAAGAAATGAATGTTTGATTCAGAATTTAAAAATCACTTTCAAGTTAACTTGAATTGCTAGTTATCAATAGATAATTATTATATATTCATGATTTCATCAGTATAAAAATAAAAAAATACTGCATTTGGTGGTTCCAGTCCCCAAGATTTGTAATTCAGACATTTTTCCATTTCAGCAATCGCCGTACACAAAAGCATGTATGTCATATGATACTTGAACATGTCCCAGTCAGAGTCTAGCATATCCATGATAATTGGTTTCTTCTGAAGTCTTCTCAAAAGTTTGGAGTAATATTTAAAAACCTAAAACATTTGGGAATACTACTTAAAATATTTTAATTGAATAATAACCGCTAGTGAATCAAAACAAATGAACAATTTTTATTTACCACCCTACTTTCACTAGAAATCAATCTTCTAAAAGTTAATAAACCATAGGAATATTTCTTTAATTATAAACATAAACTTAAAACAATTAATATAAATTACGACAATTCTGTGAGCTCCCATACTTTTGATTAATGAAAAAAAAACATTTTTTAAATTAAAAAATTTTAAATTTTTTTATTTGCCTGAAAAAAAAATTGAATTTTCCATATTTTTCCTTTGGTTATTCTATTTATTATTATTAATATAAAAGTAAAAGTGGACATCAATGACTACAACAGTTAAAGATCATTAGTTTTGTGACATATCATTCTCTATGACATATGTTAGATATTCATTTTTCTAAAATCTTTATTATATACTATATATTATATAAAAGGTTGGGATGAAATAATGCTAATTTATCATTAGTTAATTAATATTAATAGTATCATACACAGATTTTTTTTTTGGGAGACTTGATTATTTGAAATCTTTGGACCTTGAAACATGTACTTCTTGTAAAAACATGGGTTTCAAATTTGCCATGCTTACATTACTTTCCCTAACTATATATTTCATACATCGTTGAGCTAAAGAGTGACGTAAAGCAAATGAAAAAAAATATTGTAGTTAATATTGGGTTGGTTAAAAAGTCCTTCGATTTTTCAGGGTGAAATAAAATTCAATGTACTATAGACATAAAATTAATTTTAATCTAAAATATATTTACCATTATTTAATATGACTTTTTCCCATCTTTTCTCTCACTGCATAATGCCATGTTTATAGAATGTCTGGAGTTTATTGTTAAAAAACTGATCCAAATGGTTTTTGATGTCTCCTTCCTTTTGGAATTTCTTTCTATTCACGGAGTTCCACAGAGACTGGAATGAGTGGTATTCACTTGGAGCTAGGTCTGGTGAATAGGGTGGCTGGTGCAAAAGGTCCCATCCAAGGCTCAATAATTTATTGGAAGTGATCAATGAGATGTGGGGCATAGCGTCTTGGTGGAACACAACACCCTTCTGATTTGGGGGTTCTGGGCGTTTATTTTTAATTGATTGATTCAATTTTGTTAATTGTGAGCAGTATATAGTTGAATCAATTGTTTGGCCTGATGGCAATAGCTCATAGAAAATAACACCCTTGAAATCCCACCATATGGAATGCATTATCTTCTTTGGATGCAATCCGGGTTGTGACATTCTTCTAGGAGCCTCACTACCAGGTCCCTAATATTTTCTACAGACAACATTATAGTAAAATATCCATTTTTCATCTCCTGTCACCAACCAATGAACAAACCATAGAGCACATTCTGCATGAATGCCTGCTGGTGGAGGATATGAGGTGGCAGATATGGCCCCAACCCATAGACCTTGGGACCAAGCTGTTCGGAAGTCTGGAAGACCTGAAGGACCACTCATTTTATATTTTTACTTCCTGACATAGCCATTTTGGGGGTAGAATGTCCAATCACAAAAAAAAATCTAGTTTGTCAGAAATAGCATAACTATATCCATCTCAAATATAAAGGAAAAATAAAATGTTGTTTGGTATTATTTACTAAACATTACCTTATCTTTTAATTCTTGTGGTTCATCCTTTAGCTTTTCTACAAGTTTTTCACATAAATCATTCATTGAGTAATTCCATTCTTCATCAAAAAATCTGTTATAATAAATATAAAATGTAGTTTCATCTTTCTTCCTTATATGTGTGTAAATAATATAAAAAGAATTGTATTAGATTAAATATTAGCTTTTTAGTTTTGATTGTTCTACAATTTAAAGCATTGAAAACACCAAACAAGTAAATTTAGAGAAAATTAATAAAAAAACAAAAAAGTCTGAAATAATTTTGTTTATTGTAATTATCACTGTTAAGGTGCTTATTGATACTTCTATATTGTTGTATTCCAACAAAAGAAAATATCACTGTGTATGAGACATAAATCTGTGCACTATAAAAATTAAGAGGTAAAATGTGCACTTTTTAGTGTTTTTTATTTCTTAAATAAATTATTACAAAGCTTTAATTTTTTTCTCATGTTTATGTGTTATAATTACAGCTTTTATTTATAAAAAATACTACTTTCTCAAAAATTTATCATTTAAAGTGATGATGGACTAATGTTTTTTTCATTTATCTCTGATATGGAAATTGATACTTAATTGATAAGTTGCTAGATGTTGCTAATCCCAATATTTACATTTTGATTTATAGCATTTCCAAGTCAATTTCAACCTATTCCAAGTCAAATTCAACCTTTTCCAAATCAAATTAAACTTTTTCCAAGTCAAATTCAACCTTTTCCATTTCAAATTAAACCTTTTCCATTTCAAATTCAACTTTTTTCTATTTATTTAATTATCTTTAATTTTTCGATGTGTGGGTCTGTTATCGTATGAGTAGTTTTTGAAAATAACCTCCTTTTTAAGATTACATGACTGAGTTTCGAATTATTTAAGTTTTTTTTAATTATTCGATATAAGGGTGTATTTTTATGTTTCCCGATCAGTAAATTTTGAAAATGACATCCATTTTATGTTTACGCCACTGTGTTTTGACTTATTTAAGTTTTTAGAATTTATCCAATATAAAGGTTTTATGTTTCTGGAGCCGTAGATTTTGAAAATGACCTCCATTTTAAAATTAGGCCACCGCGTTTCGTCTTATTTGAGTTTTTTGGATATTTTTGATATGAGGGTGTATTTTTATGTTTCCGGAGCTGTAGATTTTGAAAATGACCTCCATTTTAAGATTAGGCCACCGCGTTTCGACTTATTTGAGTTTTTTGGATATTTTTGATATGAGGGTGTATTTTTATGTTTCCGGAGCTGTAGATTTTGAAAATGACCTCCATTTTAAGATTACGCCACTGCGTTTCGACTTATTTAAGTTTTTTTTATTTATTCGATGTAAGGGTGTATTTTTATGTTTCCGGAGCTGTAGATATTGAAAATGACCTCCATTTTAAGATTACGCCACTGCGTTTCGACTTATTTAAGTTTTTTTGATTTATTCGATGTAAGGGTGTATTTTTATGTTTCCGGAGCTGTAGATTTTGAAAATGACCTCCATTTTATGATTACGCCGCTGCGTTTTGACTTATTTAAGTTTTTCGAATTTATCCAATATTAAGGTCTACTTTTATGTTTCTTGAGCCGTAGATTTTGAAAATAACCTCCATTTCATGATTACGCCATTGCATTTTGACTTATTTAAGTTTTTCGAATTTATCCAATTTAAAGGTCTACTTTTATGTTTTCGTAACCGTAGATTCTGAAAATGACCTCTATTTTATGATTACGCCACTGCGTTTCAACTTATTTAAGTTTTTAGAATTTAACAAGTATAAAGGTCTAATTTTATGTTTCTGGAGCAGTAGATTTCCCCCATTTTGTAAATGACCCAATTTCAAGTTTATGCCACTGTGTTTTGGATTATAAAAGTTTTTTTTTACTTTTTCGGTATAAGGATCTACTTATATGTTATCCGAGACGTATTGAAATTTTTCTAATCTTTAATATTTAAATTTATCTAATATTTAAGCTCCATTTTATGATTAAGCCGCTGCATCTCGAATAATTAGGCTTCATTTTGGATTTTTTCAATACAAAGTTTCATCAATATGTTTTCGAGTATGAATAAATAAATAAATATTATGAAGCTAAAGTTAAATTAACCACAGAATACAAACTAAAAAGCCGAAAAGCAGCTGGTAATAAATTTAACCTTCCGTATTCAGATTTTTCAGCTAATTGTTCGAAATCTTATAATTTTGTGACAGGAGACCACAACATTAAAAAAGATAACTAAAATTAAATTAAAAATGAGACAATACATATTTTATTTATTTTGATTAGATATTTTTATTTATTTATTGAAAAATAAATTAATCCTTCGTATTTTGTTTTTTATTCGAAGGAAAAATCAAAAACACTTAAAAAAAACCGAAACACAGTGGCCTAATCTTAAAATGTAAGTCGTTTTAAAAACTAAGGCTCCGGCATCATAAAAGTAGACCTTTAAATTGGATAAATTCGAAAAACTTGAATAAGCCGAAACGCAGTGGCGTAATCTTAAAATGGAGGTCATTTTCAAAATCTACGACTCCGGAAACATAAGAACTACACTCTTTTATGTTAAAAATCGAAACCTTAAAGAAATCGAAATGCGGTGCCTAATCTTAAATGAGGTCGTTTTCAAAATCTAGCGTCTCCGGAAACAGAAAATACACACTCATTTTATATAAAAATGCGAAACATTAAAGAAATCATCTGCCTAATCTTGAAAATGAGGTCGTTTCAATCTACGGCTCCAAAACATAGAATACATTCCTCATTTTAAAAAATCCAAAAAAACCCAAAGATATCAAATCCGTGGCCTAAAGCTTAAACAGGGCGTTTTTCCAAAATCTACGCCCGAAACATATGATACAACCTCAAGGAAATGAAATGCCAAAAACTCAATAGTCAAACGCGGTGCGAACTTAAAATAGTAGTTTTCAAAACTACGGCTCCAAACATAAAAAGTAGACCTTAATTTGTAAATTCGAATAAACTTAAATAAGTCAAATCAATGGCGTAATCAGGAAATGGGTGTTAGTTCAAAATCTACCGCTCAAGAAACAGTAAAAGTAGACCTTAATATAAAAGAAATCCGAAAAACTCATAAGAAATCCAAAACGCGGTGGCCTAACTTAAAATGAAGTCTTTTCACAATCTACGGCTCCCAAACATAAGATACTCCTCATATAGTTAAAATCCGAAAACACAAATAATCGAAACGCGGGTGATCTATATTAAAATGGAGGTCGTTTTCGAAAACCCGGCAGCCAGAACAAAAAGTAGACCGTAATTGATAAATTCTAATAACTTAATATAAGCACAAAACCGTGTCGTAAACATAAAATGGATTCATTTCAGAATTTACTGATCGTAAAAACTAAAAATAACACCCTTATATCGAAATACAAAAAAACTTAAATATCGAAACGCAGTCACTTAATTCCAAATATATGGAGTTTATTTTCAAACTATGACAACAGCAGAATATAGGCCCTAATAAATCCGAAATAGGTACAATAAATAATATCCGTAAGTAAAATTCTACTTCTAAGCATAAAATAGACTTTCATATTGAGGGGGAGGGATGGACATTATTACAAAAAAAATATATAAAGTTACAAAAAACTAAAACATTAATTTTGAAATGAAAACGGTTGAATTTTGAATTGGAAAAGGTTTTATTTGAATGGAATCTTGGAATGCACTGAAAATATAATTCTCTTATCGGAAAAGGTTACATTTGAATTGAAATGGTTAATTTGACTTGGAAATACATGAAAAGCACACTGAATAAAAATCCAAAAATTTAAAATATTATTATATCAACCGGTTTTCAATTTTGTTTTTATTTGTCAAAAGCTGCCTTCGATAATATATAAGTGCCTTCATTCGAAACAAAATCGGAAAATTGACAAAAATACGAAAGATTGAATTGAAATAAAAAGGTTGAAGTTGAAATGGAAAAGTGTAATTTGACTTGGAAAAGGTTGAATTTGATTTGGAAAAGGTTGAAATTGACTTGGAAATGCTATATATAATTCTAGCAATTTTTTTTTTTTTTTTGCTTCCTCACTATTGAAGGTAGAGAAACTTTGTATTCATGCGAGGTTAAACAAATTTTTATCATGGCCGTATATGTTAAGGGATTACTGAATTTCCGAAAACGGCTTCTTCCAGGGATTTTATTCTCATAAGAAAATTTTTAGACCTTTTAATATGGAACTTTTTTGCAAATGAAAATGGAGAGGAAGCTGTACTGACCTCACTTGGCAGATATATTTTTTTTAAGTCATAATTTTTAACATAGTGTTAAGGGCATTAGGTCTTCCCTTATGCCGAAGTAGGGAGGGATCAGACCTAGATGTTGGAATTGATCAGAAGGGGTGTTCATTATTGGTTGTAGAAAATAATAATTTATGATAAAATAAAAGAAATATTATTGTTGTAGAGTGATGGGAGGGGGGTACCGAATTATATACATTGAAGGTTACTAGGTTAGTATTAGAATGGAATTATGGAAATGACAATCATTATATGGAATAGGTAGATGCTAGCTAGTGGAGTGATGAGATAGATGTTGATATGTTGAGTCTCCCGTTGAGGAACTGGTTCCTGCTTCTGTACATCTGAGTAGTGTTATGTGCTGGTATATACTGCCTCATCTCTACTGCCACTTCTTGGTCTTTTAGTCTAGCTAGACATACTTGGTCTTTAAGTCTAGTCAGACATACGTACTGTGTGCTAGGTCATGGATACCATTTTCCTTGAGTTTGACGAACCTTGACCACCTTGGTCTAGGTTCCTCAGATAGGACTTTGGTAGATATCCATTTTTTCTCTTCATTGAAAGATAGCGCTATTAAGACGGCCGATGATGGTGCTGCTATCTGGTATTTTGGGGTTCTAAAATTATTGTCTAACATGCTCTTCACATACAACAATTACCTTAATTTGATATTGATGTCATGCAGTGTTGGGCGTTATTTAAATAAATTATTTGAAATTTTATCTAGATAACGAATAATAGATAAATTTTTATTCGTTATTTCTTATTCGACGACATTTGGGCAGATAAGTATTTGTTATTTGTTATTTACGAATAATATGTATTATCTGTTATCTATTATTCGTTATTTAAGATGAAAATACGATTCGAATAATCTTTTTTGCAATTTTTAGAATTTCTTCGATATTTAGGTATTTTTATATGTTTTAGGGGGCCCTTTATATGAAAATACTGTCGGATTTGAGATCAATTAAATCTGAAAAGTTACAAAAAGTCGGTTTGTGGGGGGGGGGGCTATCTTAAATCGACAGTATTTTCATAAAAAAGGCCCCCAAAACATAATAGTCGACCTCATATCAATTAAATCTGAAAAGTTACAAAAAGTCGGTTTCGGGGGGGGGGGGGGGGAGGGCGCTATCTGAAATCAGACAGTATTTTCATAAAAAAGGGATAGTATTTTCGACAAAAACATAATAGTCGACCCTCATTTCAATTAAATCAGAAAAGTTACAAAAATTCGGTTTCGGGGGGAGGGCGCTACCTCAAATCCGACAGTATTTTCATAAAAAGGGTCTCCCGAAACCCTGTTATGGAAGAAATCCTAAAAACTCAAAAAAGTCGGAATGCATTGGCGTAATCTTAAAATGGTAAGAAGAAAAATAAAATTAGGGTCAAATTATTTGAAATTTATTTGAATAAACTCGAATAACAAATAAAAAGATAATTGATAACTAGAATATATTTATTATCTAGATAAAAGATAAATAGAATTATTCGTTATTTGTAGTTGAAAAGTCCGAATAAATTATTCGTAATCTATTATATTTTATTTAAGATAAATTTTGCCCAACACTGATGTCATGTCGGTAATGAAAGATGCATTCAAATGAAAATACTCTAGGAAGGAAAGCAACTTATTATAATCTTCGATCAATTCAGTCAAGAATAAACAGGCAAAGAAATAGCAATGATACAGCCTGACAGAAAACAGTTCTTGAAAATTATTTAAAGATCGTTTTGCGATTGATATAAATTAATATTTTTTGGAAGTATAATGAATGCACTTTAAAAACATGAAACCCCAAATTATGAGATGGGGGTTAAGTTTTTGAATTTTTTGATCGATCACAATGGTTCATTATTGAAAATAATAAACCAAAAATATTTAAAAATCGCGATATCTCTACTATTAATTATTTGATTTCGATGAAACTTCCTTCATTTTTTAGGAAATTTAAATACTTTTGAAACATCTCATCACAATATCGACAAAAAAGTGTACACTAGATAAATTTAAACGGCTTCGAGAAAATTACTTTAGCGAAGTTTCATTGAAATCGGTACATTCGTTTAGGCGATACAGTCTATAGCAACTCAGGTTTTTCGGCCGCCATTTTGAAAGTGAAAGGCAGATAGTAATGTCGATGAAGGAGGACCATCCTCGGCTAACCTCTGATTTTATATCCAAATTTGAAAAAAAATCGGTCCAGTAGTTTCGGAGAAAATGCGCGGACGGCGGACGGACAAACAAATTTTTATTCGTTTTTCGAATTCTACGTATCCTGAAACGTGAAACCTCAAATTTTGAGAGGGGGTTAAGTTTTTGAATTTTTTGGTCGATCACAATGATTCATTATTGAAAATAGTAAACCAAAAATCTATTCCTTTATTAATTTACAGAGTTTTTCAATATTATTTTTTATGTAACTTTGTACTTCGAGGCAAAAACAAATAAAAAATGTTTTCGATATAGCAAATATTATTTACCTTGCATTCAATTTTTTTACTTTTTCGATCACATCGAGGTGGTAGTACAGCAGTGGATTGATGTGCATGAAGATCTCTTTCTCAGTAAATTTATTAGCATGGTCCATGGTGTCAATGTGGCAGGAAGCGACCCGGTGCAAGGCAGTTTCAGCCGATTCTCTTGCTTCGGTTTCTCTGACTAACCGCTCTAAATAATTATTTATTTCGTTATTTTTATGTAACTCTTTATTTGAAGACCTTGAAATGAATTAAAACTACGTTAATTTAATATATATATTGTTTCAATGTAATCTTATAAAGTAAATATGTACTACAGTTAAAGAATAATAATATTTCTATGAGCGTACACTATCGGCTTATTGAAGAATATTTTATTCATTGATGACATTAGAGAACGTTTAAAACTTATGGGCACAGCACTTTTATCGCAACAAACCTAGACTTACTAACCGGTGGAGAAAAACAGATCATCTCATTAAGAAATCGCTAACTTAAAAAATATGAATTTGAAAATAATATTTCCATATTGAAGAATATATGAAGGAAAACTCCCATTTTAAAATAGTACCTTTCCTTCATTTTTTTTCCAAATATGTTCTCAAATGACTGACAATAGGCAACAAACACCCTTATTTTGTAGGACCCTGATCTCGATAATTCCCTAAGATTGTAAAATTGTCTGCATATCAGCAACCCTTAAACCAGGTCAGATTAAACGTCAAAGTTTTATCGTGGTTTATTTGAAGACTGGAAATTTTCAGAAGCTCAATATTAGTTTGAGAGATGGTAATAAAATAGCCAAGAAAAGAGTGTAAGTTACAGAAATCCTCATTCCACATTTTAATATTAATGATATCTTGCCTGTTAATGTTAACGAAAATAAAGTAAACTATATCTTAATTGTACGTTCGAAAAAACAAAAAATATATTCGTTATCTCCTAACCTAAATTGATGATGAATCACTAAAGACAATATAACATTTCTAATGTTCAATAATTTACCCACACATTAAAACTTTAAAAGATTAGTTCCAATGTTAATTTTTACAAATATATTCTGCTAATTAAATTTCGAGGGAGAGGGGTAGCTCAGGGGTACGGTACAGAGCTTCCAACGCTGTGAAGGTCCCAGGTTCGAATCCCGGCTCATGGCAGAAAGTTTATTTATTCAGTTTCATTGGCCGTGGGATGGACCTGGGACGGGAGACCCCCCTGGGGCCCCAGTCTCTATAAAGTGGGTACCTTTAATTAAATAATTTGATTAAGGGAAAAACCTGGCGGTTGAGCGTAATCTCGGTCAAATCATTTCCTTGCACAGGACAGTACTTTTCCTAAATCGTAGTACTGAACCCAAGGCCCTTTATGGGTTGTAGTGGTACAGTTTTTTGTTTTGTTTTTTAATTAAATTTCGAACTAGTCTACATGGTTTAGTAGTTATGCAAACGTGGATCCGATTTCCAAGATCATATAGATTTTTTTTTTTTTACGAAATCTATTCTGTATTGGGGGTAATAAAATATAAGAGATTTATACCCTAAGATTATTTATTTTTATTCCCGAAATTTGGAATTTTGTTAAAAACCGATAATCCTTAGTGTTCCTTTTAAAGAGTTTTTTTTTTTTTAACTCTAATCTTTCTTACACTACTTTGAAAAATTGCGTAATGTGACTACTGCATATACTAACATAGAAACTATGCCTTCCAAGAAGAACGTTATTGGTGGAAGAGATGGTTTGGTGATGAAGCACCAGGCCTCTTTGAATATACCCGGGGTACGTGAGTGAAACCAAAAAGATTGATAAAACGATTGGCCAGGAAGTAATATTCCTTCCATTTTATTGAAGAAGAATCTTGTCATCATAGCTTTGGTGATTCTCAGGGGTAACATAAGGTTTTTGTAAGCTTCCTTCTTTTCCCAGACGTAGGTTATAGCTATCTGCCCTCTATTGGTGAATTTAATATACTTAGCATGATGATCCGACGTGTACACTCCTGTGAAATCTATTGTCCAATTGACTCCCTTCCTATCGCTTCCTTTTAATAATAATTTCCCTATCGATAATATTGGCATCTTTTCATCTGGTATTTGATGTAATATTTGATAATTCTCTACTACTATGCCGGGTAAAATGTAGCTGCCGCGAACCTCTTCTTTTTGAACTATCGTTTTACCAACTATAATTAAATCATCAACATCAGGCGTATTTTCTACTTCTTTAATCTCTTCTTCGAGTTCCATTCTTCTCTGTTTATAATAAGGGGAATCTTGCCATCTTTTAAGAGCATTTTCTAAACATTTCTGTCCCAAAATTCCTTTCTCTTCTTGAATTAATCTAGGGAATCCTATGTATCCATCTTCTATCAAATGAGAAAGCTTCTTATTTTCATGGGTCAACTTGAGTGGAGAGAAATAAACTTCAGCCAGTAAATTCTTAGAGCCTGGTTGCCGTGGCTCAGTCGTTTTCCAAAACAAAGGACATCCTGTTTTTCCGCACCTATACAAATACAAATACTTTATATTTCACTTAATAATAAACCTTCAATAGAGTATTGTTAGTTAGTTATTAATGCCCTTAATAATTAAAATTTATAGCTAATGTTCCAAATTTATTAGAGCTTATCGAGTTATCGTTTGGAGAATAAGCTGAAATTTTCATTTTTTACGGTATTATTTTAAGAATCTTTAATAGTGCTTTATTTCTATTTCTAGATAAAGGTGACATGATTATTATCAACTCTCAGCGTTGTGTGAAAACTTTAATAATGGTAAAGCTAAAGTATTAGCCATAATAAGGCAAATTGGATAAGTTAGAAGCTGTTTTACGATAGAATGAGTTAGACATAATTAATCAAGTGATAGCAAACCATTAATGTAAACGTAAAACTCTTAAGTTATACACTAAATTAGGTCATATTTTTCATGCAATTATTATAAAATTTCGCCTAAAGTTCATCGGAGGGAAGCCACGGTGGATTGAGGGTGATACTTCACAATTTTAGTGTGATAAACACTCAGAAAAACGTGATCACCGATATTCCTAAGCTCATGTTAAAAATCTGCTAATTGGACCGATATGTTCGGGGGATGAGCGGAAGGTATATAGGGTTCGCTACTTTTTGATTTTTAAGAAGTACGGAAAGAATTTTTTTTTTTAATGGAAAAGTTCAGATAAGCGTGGTGTATATAAGATAAACGAATTTCCAATGAAATCCTAGTTTGCAACTTAAATACTAGTTTTTATTTTCATTTATCTGTATCCTATACCACCACTAACAACCCATGAAGGGTCTTGGAATCAGTTCAACATGAGGAAATACTGTTACAAGCCCAACGGTTGTGAAGTGGTGACGGCCCAATATCCCGCTCAACTGTCAGATTTTCTCCTTAATTAATTATTTCATTAAGAGTACCCACTTTATAAAGGCTGGCTGGATTTACCCCAGGAGGGTCTACCGGCCCTAGGGTCGACCCACGGCCGATGAAAAATTACTAGTCATTAGCCGGATTCGAACCTGGAACCTTGAGCTCTGGAAGTCAGTGCTCACCCACTGAGCTACTCCACTCCCTACTTATCGAAGAATGAAATATATTTAGGAAAAATATTGCGATCGTAAAAAATTTCTAATTTTTGTTTTTTTTATTATCAGCTAATTAATTGTTTTAGATGTATATGTTATATCATCTATAATTATTACTTTCACTCTCCTGCTTATGAAAATAACTATTTCTACTCGAGATGGACAGGTAAGTTTTATGATGCTAGATTTTTTAATTTTAGTTTAATGATGATGAATTTGGTTTTCATGCCATATCCATAAGTAAATATATGTAACTAACAAATATTTTAACTGTCTTTTATTTTATAAAATGGGATTTTTCGGCAAGGAATAGTTTTTGACACATTCATTTAAGAAACGATAGGGAAATTCCCGACTATATTAAATGAAATTTCAGTACTTAAAGAGTCAATCAAATCAGATCTTTATAAGTGTTATATATATTTGTGTATATTGAGCTCACGGGCGGATCTACGGGAGGGCTTTCGGCTGAAACCTTCCCCCAAATGATAAAGTATAACCATGTCTTATGAAAAAAAAAGAATTAATAATTACCTCTAAAAGTATTACCTATTGTTCATTTAATAGTACTTAAAGAATCACTTATGGGAAGGGGGTAGCTCAGTAGTTCAGGTAGGGCACTAAGCTTCCGATTCTCAAGTTCTCAGGTTCGACCCCTGCTCATGGCAGAAAGATTATTTATTCAGTTTGATTGGCCGTGGGATGGACACTGGGAGGGAGACCCTCCTGGGACACACCCAGCCTCTACAAAGTGGGTACCCTTAATTAAATAATTGATTAAGTGAGAAAACCAGGCTGAACCCAAGATCGTTCATGAATTATAGTGGTAAAGGTTTTTTTTTTTTTTTTTTAAGAATCACTAAAACTCTATTTCATATAGGTAGTTAGTTCCTTTCCTTTTTTTTCCCTAAGTAATTATCGTTACATATATTTCTTGGTTTATTATTTTCAATAATCAACCATTGTGATCGACCAAAAATTCAAAAACTTAACCCCCCCCCTCAAAAATTGAGGTTTCACGTTTCAGGACGCGTAGAATTCGAAAAACGAATAAAAATTGTTTTGTCCGTCCGCCGTACGCCGTCTCCGAAACTACTGGACCGATTTTTTTAAATTTTGATATAAAATCAGAGGTCCCCCGAGGATGATCCTCCTTCATCGACATTACTCTCCGCCTTTAACTTTCAAAATGGCGGCCGAAAAACCTGCGTTGCTATAGACTGTAGCTCCTAAATGAGTGTACAGATTTCAATGAAACTTCGCTAAAGCCATTTTCTCGGCGCCTTTTAAATTTATCTATATAACATACTTCAACGAAAAGAAGCTGGGAAAAAAGTTACGAGGGATGTTAAAATTAAATTCCAAATAACTCGAAAAGTTGTTACTTTTTTGTGGATATTGTATATAGTTTTTTAATAGTTTACGAAATATCCTAAAAAAAAAAAAATTCGGACAATTAGGAGCAAAGATATGGTCTCCGGTTTTTTTTTATATGTTATACTCCAAATGTTATATCTTCGGTTTGGTTTTTAAATTTTGAATGTGTTACTGAACTAATGCTATTTTTTTTTTAGCATATTACTAATGATTAAAAAAACACAGTTTAGTCCAATAATTGGAATCACCTTTCGTTTTTTTCTCTTTGTAACTCGGAAGATAATGTTACTTTAGATGTATAATTGTTTGGAGATAATAAACCATTGTGAAATAATTTGCAGCTTTTTTTAAATCGTTTGGGCTGAATCCTCCCAAAACTAAATCCTGGATACGCTAGTGCTTACCGATCTGAACTTAGGTGACCAGACTTTAACATTGGTAAAGCGGAACACCATTGACCCGGGGAGGGGGGAGGAAAGGATGATCCAAAATTTGTTAAATGATAATGGAAGGAAACCGATAAAAGTACGGACATTTAGCAGTTTTGGGGATATTCAACAATGATCCGGGAAGTCTCCGAGGCCGAAAGCTTGGATTTTACATCCCGTATTGGATTTTACTCAGTAACATCCCGTACAAGGTAAAAAATAACAAAACCTTCTATCACCGATTGATGCAAATTAGACTCCCCTCCAAATTACAAGATTACTGGACTATTTTTCTCTTATCGTATAAATGTTTTATCATTTCGTCCGAAATCTAAGTGTAGTATTGTTTCTAAGGAGCTCGCCATTAGAATTACCTGCACTGGTATTCTTTTATTAGTTGTGCGTCGTATATGACGTCCTTCTCCCGATCTATCTCCCACTTCCGTTCCCTGTTCATAAGGAGGCACGGAGGCTCGGTCCCAATCGCCTTCCCGATCCGCTCGCTCACTTCTTTTCGTGCTTTCATCCATTTCTCCCAGTTAGCTAAAGCTTGTCTATCCTTTTCGGTATATTCATCTCTCATTGTATTGAGGAGCTTATCTGAAATCGTCTTAAGTGTGTTTCTCCGGTTAAGAAAACTGTTCTAGCTGACCGTTTTGGTTAGACTGTTTTTAACAATAAATAACAAATAAACTTAAAGAAAATTAGAGGAGACAGTTAAAGAAGAGTTTATTGTTTAAGTTAACATGTGTTAATTTCAGAATATTTTTATATAATACTTATAATATACAGTTCGATTTTATTTTATAAAATAACCTCCAATGTTCTCCGATGGCATGTTGTGCCAATTGGATCTAAATATTTCTGTTTGTCGAATTTAGTGTAATTACATTTACTTCACTTAATTCAAAAGCTTTTTATATTTATGGATCGAAGTAACTTGTCCAGCAACATAAAATAGGATTTGTACAGAATACCGACGTAGCTAAGACAGAATAAATTTGCTATCGTCATCTGTTGAGATGAATCATTAAAAGCAAGATAGCGATAGTTTGTGTATCATCGTATTCTCTGTTAAAACAGTCCAGTAGCTTTTGTAAACTCTGTTGGGATAAATTAATTCGCAGAGCTTAAGATCAATAAAGCAGACAACCTTAATGAAAATAATCCATCCTTGCCACAGGAGGATCTACGAGGAGGGCACTATTTTAACTATTAATGCGTAATTTCGCACCAACACTACAAATGTCACACCACTGATCATTGGGCCATGATCCTTGTTCGCGGTATTCCCGAATTAATTAAGCTCTATACGAAAAACAAAAGTTTCTACTTCAAAGCCCAGGAAACTTGCACTTTCTGTAACAAATTCATTTCTAACATCCTGTTCCATATCCTTCTGTACTGTGAAAAGCTAACAGACGACAGACACAAACATTTACGAGCATTTCTCTCTGCGACAAGTGACGTAAACAAGATACAAGACATACTTCGAATCGATGACATAGAGAAACTTAACAAGGTTTACTGGTTCATAATGTCAGCGTGCAATTTACTGGATTCCTTAAGCTCTGATGTTCCACACACCAATCAAGTGCTATCGCTAAGGATAATTGTTGCTCAGTTCAATTAATTGTTTGTTTCTTTTTTTCTTATGGTTTTATTGATAATGTAAATAGAAATTAATTGGAATGTAATGAAGTATTATTGTTTTTATAGTTATGATAAACTAGACTCATGTAGGTGAAATAAAGTTATTCATATATGTATGATTTGTACAAGATTGTAAAATAATCTTTAACAAATAAATTCAATTCAATTCAATTCCTTGTTCGTGGTATAAATGATATCCAGAGAGTATCCGAGTGTTGAAAACTATTTCAAAGTATAAGTCTATTTAGATCGCTATTTGCGATTTCGGCAAACTCGTACAGGCCATTTTTAGTTACAATAGGGGCATTAATTAGCTTCAATTACATATCTGCTTTCGACTCTCGCTCACTACATTCACCCTAAAGGGATAAATTAACTCCCAATGCGTCTTCAATGAAAGTCGAGGTCTTACCAGAAAGTTTCACTTAGAGTTTTGTCTTTCGAACACACTCGGCCATTCTCGAGATTTTATTTATGGTGTGCTGATGAAGTCTTGTACCAGCTATGAAAGAGGAGTGACATTTGTACACTGGTAAAGGTAATGGTAATGATATAAAAATATATTCGAAGTTGGCAAACACCAATTTATACATAACCTATTTGTTGCTAAAACCACAGCTGACGGGTTATAAGACAATCCCATAGAGTAACTCCTATGAACTGTTGCAAGAACTTTTACCAAGGAAGGAATATTCTCTTACATAGGAGATTTTCCTCAGAGTCAAAACAATAAATTATTAACTTCGCTGGAACAAGGTATTCCCTTCATAATAATAGAGGAATATTTAATATCAAAAAGGCAGTGGCTTAACAATAATTCTTCGATTTTTTTAAAACTTTAATAAAAAATTGTATTAATAACATTCGTAGATCAGTAAACTGTTGACCCTGGTCGTTCCATGCCTCAACTTACCCGCTAGCAAAGCACAATTAGGCAATTTTAATAATAACAGATGACTATTAGCGCAAATACGATCCGCTACAACCACATGTTCCTAAATATAACCGTGATATATACCTAAATATATCTATTATTTGGAAAACAGACAAAAAATTGAATTAATTGGCAAATTCACCAAATTATGAGTTTATTTATACATGAAGACCGTTTGTAGCCCTGTCACTTAGTTGTAGGGAAATGCTGATGTTTTCATTTGAGTTATGCGACCCCTAGACAAGAAAACAGGACAAGCTAGTAAACAGCCGAGAAAAGGTAATATGATGGACATTATATTACGTGTGAGAATCTTTTAATAACCCAATAAAGGTGCAATCATTCTCGGATCGATTAATTCACAAGCAACAAAATATGTTTTAGTCGGCAAAAAAAAATTTCAATTGCAATTGCTCTTAATCTTTGCCAGTTTTTTTTTCAATTACCTATACGGAGATTTAGCCTAATTTACATTCTGCTGAAACTTATTTACTCAATTGGGTATGGACATTTTTTGAGTTTTAAAAACTATGAATAACTATTTATTATAAATTTTGATATTATTTATGATGCAGGGTTTTATCGAAACAGATTTAACGACCAAAGAATCTTTTCGTACAAATAAACTCAGGAGTTTAAAAGTCTCATTTCTTTGTAATTTCCATATTTGATCCTTCTTGATTTTCTTTCTTGTTGAAGTAACATGTGATACAATCCGTATATCAATAAGTCTGGCTTATACAGTTCAAAACTAATGATGGTTCTCTTAGCGTATCCATTCTTTAATATTGAATCTGAGATTATTCCATTACTTTCTCCTTCCTAAAAGTCCTTTTAAATTATATCTTGAGCTATCTCACATGGATCCGTTTTCCGTATAATTTTGAATATGTTCCTTTCATCCTTGGCATTTGTTGTTTTAAATTATTTTTAAGAAACGGGCATTAGTTTCAATTCACTGTTCATTGATGGTGACTGGTTTTAAGATCACTTTGAGCGCACTTTCAGTGGAAACCCGAAAAATCTCGAATGTATCCGAAAATAGACGTATTCGACCGATCTTCAACACTTCGTGTCAGTTAAGTTTAGTCAGTTTAGATCTCCTTGACTTTTTTTTTATTATTTTATAAATAAATAAAATCGTGAAGATACCTATCGAAATGTTTGTATACAGATACTAGAAATTAAACACTTCATCTTAAAAAATCTGGTGCGCGCAACAAACAACTTATCCCTTACCGCTCTTTATTGAATAGGAATTATTTTCTGGGAATGTTGGACTATAAAATTTTTGAAGTGTATTTTTAACGGAGCTACAGCTTAAAACTTACAGCTAACAAATTTTTAAGACCATTAAAATAACAAAACTCAACTAATTATATCAACGGTGGACAATAAAAATTACCTTGTTCTATCTGTTTTTGTAAGCCACATAACTCCAGTCTCTGAATTTTATATATATATATATATATATATACTTATATGCCTATACAATTATACAATTCTATTGTACAATGCCTAGAGAGATTTCAAAGCATATTTATATATTCAACCTATACATAATTATGGATTGTACGTCTATTAGTTATTAAACTGTTATTTTCCGTTGTAAAGTTTACTACAATGAAATCACGAGATTTTCATTGCCTGCCACAGACAGGTCAAAAGTTGTCACACTAATTGCATGTTGATAATGTTGGGATTTAACCAAGAGAAATTTCATCAAATTATTTACTAATTTAATTTTCTAAAAGATTGCATGACAATTTTTCGTTGTAAACGAACGATGATACCTCATTATTTAAGTATAATATCAGATCTAGAATTATTGAACTACAGCAAATGTATTTAAGGTTATAAACATATGTTTTATACATCCATGAAATATTTTTATATTTCAATTCTTTCACACAAGTACAATGAAATAGTTTTTTTAACAATATATTATCATTATACGTATACCTTCTGACTATTATTTCCGGTGATACAGTTCGATCTGGATAAGCCTTTTTCTTCATTATTCAAGCTATATTTAGCATTTTTTCGTAACTCCTAATAATGAGGACAGTTAATTATTTAAAATAAACCAAATTAAAGGTACTTATAAGAAGGGAGTGTTGAACATTTAAGCCCTGTAAAGTGACATCAATGAGAATGAGACCTGAATTATATTAAAGGCCATTTAATTGTACAATGATACACTGAGTTTAATGAAAATCGTTAAAGCCGTTTTTCAGAAAATTGTACAAATGTGTATTATCTTTGATATAAAGTGCCACTTCCGGTTTGTCAATTATAATGAAAAAGTTGCTGTAACATCTCAACCATATAAAACCCTTAAATTCACAATTCCGGTTTCTTACGACTTATTGTTTTTGAGCTAGGCTGTTCACATACACTTACACAGACCATTTTGCGAGACTTCGTTATTTGGACTCAGAGAACATCAAAACGAGTATTTCCGTTGAAATTTTGAATTAAAAAATTTTCACGATCGCAATACTTTCCTTTAATATATATTTCATATGTAGGTAAGTAAAACTAAAAATAAATACTTAAATGAACATAATTTCTATACTTTCGACCAAACATGATGATTATCAAGCACAATCTATATTAAGACTCAAGGAGTTAAATAATAGCGATTGAATTGTAACAGCTACAGTCAAATTAATTATATCCATATAAATAATCCAACTATGTATAATTAATAATGAATAAAATAATTTTATGTATTATATGTAATATGTTTTTTGTCATGATAAAAAATTATAAAAAACACTTTTGTTTATATTATTTCTTATTACATTTGTTTCTGTGCATTCAAGGCAAAAATATGTTTTAGGACAAGCCATTTTTATATGAACAAGATTGTAAATATTTGGCTACTTTAGACGTTCCTCGTCATTTCAGTTTTTGTGATCGATTTCATGTTGAAACCGGCCGATATCTTTAGCGATTCAGAAATAGTACCGCGAAATGTAATGATATAATTATTTTAAACGAATTAGTTGTTCTAGAATAAATTACATAAATATTATTATAACTAAGAAGCGAGATGAGACATTAATGGTGCTGATGGTGGGTACATTTGAAGTGTAAAGATTTACATACATGATACATGTAGAGTAATAGAGATATATGAGTAACAATTCTTTTTTTATCTTCAGAGGTCGATATGGTAGGCCTATTGCAAGTTCATTAATAATTCTTATATAGTAACGGTACTAGAACACAAGTAAAACGTCTAGTTGACAAGTGGATCAACATCACATAGATCAAACATCGGTAAAATCTCGAAAATGGGCGTGTATTTCTGAATTTATAGGCAAGGTTCCTTTCTATGACAGGAATTGAGATCTTTGTCTTCTATAGGAGCTGGATTAATCAGTCTATCTATAATAAATTCATACAGTGCTTTACGAATCCCATTTCATTGACTGAATTAGAGCCAAAACAGTCAAAAAGCCGAAACACATTTTTGTTTGACCTAAAAATAAAATTTCGCTCGAAATTTTGCCCTCATCCCAAGGAACTTTGCCACATTCGTTTTTATCCGTTCTGCGAGCGCAGCAAACCTATCTGTGAGTGTACTCGAATTTTTTTGTAAACACGGCTACTTTTGAAATCATCTACAGAAAGATCGATGCTATCTTTACAAACCTTTCACCAGAAGTGAAACTTTCGAATAAGTGCCATAAATACTACCAGTTTAATATACTACATAAATTTATTGAATCCCAACACTGTCATCACCACCTATGCCGATGACACGTGTATCCTATCAGTTAACAACGATCCATCAATTGCATCCCAAACTCTCCAATCACTCATCACAAATCTTGAAGAATGGTGTTAAAACTGGAGGATTAAAATAAACTCCAATATCCCACCAAATTACCTTTACCCTGCGTCGCAAACCTATGACCTCCTGTCCTACAGTATTCTTTAACAATTCCCCACTTATCCCAGTTGAACAAATTCGTTACCTAGGACTCCACCTCGACAAACGACTCACATGGAATCCTCATACAAGACTGAAACGACAAGAAACCGCTCGACGTTTCCGACTAGTCCAACACTTACTAGACAAACGCTCTAAGCTTTCACTCAATTACAAAAGACTCATATATATGACAATAATAAGACCTATTTGGACCTACGGAATTGAGCTCTGGGGCTCCACTAAGCCATCGAATTCCTCTCGTATCCAATCCTTACAATCCAAAATCCTTCGTAAAATCCTCAACGCTCCTTACTTTGTCACAAACAAAATCATCCATAAAGACCTTAATGTTTCATATGTTTCCGATTTGGCCCAATCCAGATACCTATCCTTCCATAACAAACTGCAGAACCATCCGAACCCTCTTGTTTCAAACATTGCTTCCTCCTCTATCCCTGATTACCCTCCGAGGCGTCTGAAAGGAAGATGGCCTCGGGATCTTCTAATATAGAACTTTAATTTGAGTTCTACCAATGGGTAGTTTCTCTTCATATTTTACATGTCATGTTACCAATGTCACATTTACCTGTTGTATTTTTAATGTAATACAGTTGTAAATTTCAATAAAATTATAAATAAAAAAAAAATTATTGAACTCTTGATTGAAGTTTTTTGTATGTTTTACGGTATAAAACCAGTATGTAGTTTAGTTCAATAGCGCATACAGCTATTTTTATTTACTTTCTTTTATTGTAAACTACGATCGTTGGGCAGGAATCCATTCTTTGTAACACACCCACGGTTTTCGTTTTTAAATCTGCCTAATTCCTTACATCGCGTTTGTCAGGTTTGTACCGATAACGTCATTTACGTCTCATCGTACATCTGTCAGTTTTAATACATTTTTTTCCTTTTTCTGTTTACATATATGTCGCTTTTGTTTATTTACAGAACAAAAAAAAAGGTCTGACATATTAATACCTAGCTTTACACCTGAAGAGTTAATCAAACTCGGTAAGCAGTATGCAGGACTGGAATCGCCCATCGATATATCATTCCCGATACTCACGGAGGCACATCTGCGACCATTGGAATGGGTCAATTTCGAAAAGAGTCCAAAACGGATGAAAATTTCCAATAGCGGAACGACAGGTATTTTTAAACTTTTCTACAAAACATTGCATGTATTCATAGAATTTTGTATGTTATTATTTAATATTATGCAATAAATAGTTGATTATTGATATTGCTGCTGAATAATGATTTGGTCCTGTTGCTAGCCATCCTGAGTGCCAAATGGCACGGGCCTCGCCCCTACCTCTCGAAGGGACCACTCACAGGATTTTACGTCTTTTCTCAGCTCCATTTTCATTGGGGCAGTAACTTGGAGGAAGGAAGTGAGCACACTATGGATGGAAGATCGTAAGTGGTGTACTTTAACTATCAAGTAAAATTTAAATTTCTTAAAGGTCTCAATGACCTGATTTAGAATATAGAATAAATTGTCAACTTTATTTCACCATTAACTAAATGAAACAGGCTTGGCTAGAAATCGGTCAATTTTTAAGGACTGTAGAGATGCCCGGCGGTGCTCTCTTTTACTTTATAACGGTTCAAATGAAAGATAAATATTGTAGTAGACATCCCCCTGTATTTACTCATTTATGTGACATTGTGTGAGGGAATGAGATAGGGAATATAGGGAATATATAGGGATGTGAGGTTGCACGATTGTACTCAATTATGCAGTGGACAAATTATTCATTGAAAAGTCTCATATCGATAAACAATCGATAAAGAAGAAAGAAGGAAAAGGACGGAGCAGGTAGAAACAGCTGGAGAAGGATGCTGGAGAGAAGAGAACATGAGGTTGGGACATTGAGGCGGAACGACATTACCTGAGAAGAGAAGTACACTTCAAGATTAAGACGATCAAGTCTTTAGTTATAACACTTTAATAGAGTCAATTCATTACAGTAGTAGAAATAAATTATTTTGTTATACAGAAGTGAAAAGTCATTTATTGTGTTATTTATTTAGTTGTTCTATATGCCTCACAACTGAAGAATAATAAACTAGATGAGTCAATTCATTCAAAGTGTATTTACTAAGTCTCACATTTCATATATATATTCTTATTGTTTCTTCTCACTCAGTGTCACAAAAGTATTAGGTTCCCGAGTTCCCAACAACAGTTAAACACCCTCAAAAGTCTATATCCAGTGCCGGGGTTTTGTCTTAATATCCACGAGCCGCAAGATTTTCCTCCGTAATCAATTACTTAAATAATGGTACCCTGTTCGTAGAGGCTGGAAATGCCCCAGGAGGGTCTCCCTACTCCAGGGTCGACCCACGGCCAATGAAACAGAATAAATATTTTTTCTGCGATTAGCCAGGATTCGAATCTGGGACCTTTGGAAGCTTAGTTCCCTACCAATGAGCTGCCACCAAAAAATGCATAACTCCATAAAAATTTGTTGCTCTCAAAATTTTTGATAGCGCGACTTGTACCATGGAATCTTCTTTTGGGCCCGCTTTGAGTAATTTTGGTTTACTGATAACTTTAACCTCCAAACGGACGCATATATCTATCAGATACATAGCCTAATTTTTAAACTAAATAGAGGAAGAAATCCACCCTTTTTTTTTCTATTCTATACTTTTAGAGACCAACTTATTCTTTTCTAACCGCCTCAATTTTAAACAGGCTGTGCTCGGTGTCTTAAGTACACGCTTCGTCATTCTTGTGTTTCAAGTTGTTCATATTTCATGAATTATTTTTAAATTATTTAAATACCAGTCATAGTAATTTTATATGTATTTCTAATACTGAAATGAAATTACCTTGTGACATAATTTACTATTACAAGAAAGTAAAGGTTCTAAACAAATCTACTTAGTATTCAATAAGATGTAAGCCGTGTTTGAATAAAGAGAAATCGAGAACCACCTATTTAAAATTTGAACTGTGTAAACAATTTATTTTTTAAGAACATTCAAAGAAATGTTAAATGTAACTCAATGATTGCATTTTATTATAGAAATATGTTTGTGATAAATACAGAACCAAGTTTTTAATTTATTTTTCATATAAGTTTGATTTTTTGTGATATATTATATTATTATCATAAAATATTACATGTTTATTGAAAATATTTTGGTCTAAAACCCGCCTGATAGTACAAATATTGTTTTTTATTTTAAAAGTAAACTATTAATGTTTAGCAAAAATAAATGTTCTTTACTGATGTTAAACATAACCGGTATCTAATGGGACAAAAGTCTAAAAGCCATGATATTGACAATAAAATATTCCCTTCTGTTATTGTTATAAAATTCAATGAACGATTTATAAACCATTTTTATCTAAAACCAGTATGATTTTTTATATCATGAAAATTTTAAAATACAAATACAACATTTCTATAAAAAATATCACTTATCGAGATCGAGATCATCGATTTATGTTTTATTATTTGATATTAAATACGCATATTCCTATCCAGTATTACAAGCAAATTCAGAACAATAAGTTCTACGTTTATCGTGTAGTGGCTTGTAGAAAGGTAGGCATAGTTTTTTCTTAGACTAGTCGTTAAAAACATCGTTCTCTCAATACCTCACTTAATTGTTTTATTTTATTTTTTTTTTAGTTAGAAATCTAGAGTTTTCTACTTATAATACTGTGACCACTTTCAAATCTTAAACTTTCCTAAACTATCCTAAAAACTTTCAGGATATTTTAGGGTTTTCCCAACGTCATCTCTTGAGGAAGTTGTTGGAGAAACAGTCCTCTAGAGATGACGTTGGGGAAACCCTAAAATATGACATTTTTTAAATTGGTCTCAGAAAAATGAAAATAACTTTGAATGATTTAGTGTTGGCCGAAACGTTGTCAAGATGAAATGAAAAATAAATAAAATGTTGGTGAATAACGGCATTAATTTATAAAAATGAAATATTCTCCACCTACTATTCCAGACTCAAAAAAATATATCATAGAGATTTAAAAAAAAAAATACATTTCTGATTTAAAAAATTATTACTCAAGAATTATTATTATTTTTAAATGTAATAATTTTGTTTAAAAAAAATTTTTATTTTTTTAGATCTTTTTATTGAGAAATAATACATTTTGCCATATTTAAGGACACTGAATACTAAAGCCGAGTGAGGCCCATTCATACTATATATACAATGCAATATAAAATATAATATAAAAAAAAAATAAAAGTATCTATATAAGAAAGGTAAAAACAATAAAACTAAAGAAATGTAACTTGAATTCAAATTAAAAAAAAATAATAATAAAAAAAAAATTCAGAAATTGGTAGCAAATTAAATAAGTCATAAGTAAAACAAATAGATATATAAAAAAGAAAAACATTCATACTTAATATATAAAAAAGAAAAACATTCATACTTTATTTACAATCAGCCAAGGGAGCTCCGAGTCCAGCCCTTTCCTCCACGTGTGAAGGACAAAGCGAGACTCTAAGAGATCCCAGCGCTTCTCTCTCAGCTGCGTCACCGGCAGGAGTCCAGTGGAAACTGAGAGAGGGCACTAAAGCAACAGACGCTCATGACGTGAGTGGAGAGGCTGGCTATTGCCAGAACTCCAGTGCCAGTCTTTACAAAAGGTCTCGAGGCCACTGCCGTTTCAACCTTCGAGGAGGGTTGTAGGGGTGACTGGAGCTGGATAAGGATTGTGCTAAGGAGTTAGGATGGTGGATTAGGTTCAGATGAAAATTTGAGAATCGAGATGGAATAACGTCAAGGACATAAGGGATGTAAAGGTCATGATGTAGGGTTTTGTTTGTAACATAATAAGGAGCATTGACTATCATACGGAGGACTTTAGACTGAAAGGATTGGATGCGTTTGATGTTCGAAAATTTAGTTGTCCCCCACAGTTCAAGTCCGTAGGTCCAGATGGGTTTGAGTATGGTCTTGTATATTAATAGTTTGTTTTCTATTGAGAGATTGGATTTTCTGTTAAGTAGTCTGTATAGCTGGCCAAATCGTCGGTTAAGTTCTTGTCTTTTAAGTCTGGTATGTGGGTTCCAAGTTAGTCTTTTGTCTAAAAGGAATCCAAGATACCGAACTGTGTCTGAGACGGGGAGAGGTACAGAGTTGAAAAGGATATGTGGACAGGATCTGCGTCGGAGGGTAAAGGTGACATGCTTGCATTTGGATTCATTTATCTTAATGCGCCAATTGTTGCACCATTGCTCAATCAGGGAGATGTGTCTTTGTAGGTTTAAGGATGCTGTTTCAGGATCTGAGTGGGATGACAGGATGGCGGTATCGTCAGCGAAGTTTGCTAGAAGGGTATCGGGGTTGGTTGGAATGTCAGCGGTGAAGAGGATGAAGAGAACTGGGCCCAAGACACTGCCTTGTGGAACACCAGCTACAATTGGATAATAGTTGGAAAATTCAGTGATATAAATAAAAATAAATAAATAAATAAAAATCATCAAATGATTTTTAAAAATTACAGATACAAATTGTGATCAGATTTGATATTGGTTATTTAAATTATTGATTTCAAAACCTGTTTGAAACCTGTTGTTAGACACAATAATTCAAAATTTAGGTCGCACAATCATGTACCTAAAAAGTTACAGAATGAAACGTGGAACAGATTTCTGTCACCTAGAATAGATTAAAATTACGGGGAAAGGTATATAGAACAATAAACAGCAAAAAAAAAAAAATTAAATCATCCCTGCACTGTTGAATAATGAGAAAACGACTTCACTTGTCTTCAAAATTTGGAAGATTTTATAAGGTATTATTTAGCTATTTTTCAAAGAAAATAATTTTATTGCCCTCGAATTATTTATGTTATTTTTGGTTCATTAACATGTTATCTAATGGTACAAACATGTTTCTCATCATAATCTCGAACTTAATTTTTAGACTTTTGTCTCGCTAGATTCGCACTCGGCCAAACAGTGCGTCGGAAGATTAAAAGTAAGTGAGAACTGAGACAATGATTGTGTTCACAGAAATAATGCAACTAAAGTCACTTGGAATCATTTTCACCAAGTTTTAAAAGCATTGAATAGAAATATTGTGAAACATAATCTAAATTAGACAAAGAAGCAAGATAAAACTAAAATAAAATACACTTGTTTTATTTAAAATGAACTTTTATGGATTATAAAATGAAACGCATTTAGAGGATGATGATTCATATACACTGCGGACAGAGTCAATCAGTCGTTTCTCATTCATTTTCTTACTTATTTAATTTCATTTTTATTAAACTTTTAAATTTGACACCAGAGCAATTTAATATCGCATAGGCTTCCCCTGGAGGTTCATGTTATGTTCTTCAAAAACACCTACTTGACTCAAGAAGACGCCATGAAACAAACGGATGGTACTGTCACCGTCGCATACCTCTTCACAGTAAGTAACTTGCCAATACGTTATTTTAATACACGTTATTTAAATAACCAGTTTGATGGTATGGAATATTTTATTTTGATTTTATATATGTTTACTGATCATCTCACTTTCAATATAGAAATAGAAAAATAACTTTATTCTGGGACAAAGTCCTTTAAGAATAACAGAATGTTACGAGAAAAAAAAATCACTTCTGGCTAGAAGAACTGTTACATTAAATAAACAAATAGACAAATATACATTCCTCTATACGATTCATCTCTGATACATCTGTTCTAAAATAATCCCTATCGTACAATGCATTCTTACTATTGGGTCATTTCATATGAAATGTCTGTTTTTATTATTTCATATTTTTTTTATTTATTTTAATTTATTTATGATATTATAAACTGTATTACAAATAAAAATACATTCAGTAAATGTGAACAAAATAATATAATAACATGAAACTACTTGTTGAGAAGCTACCCACTGGTAGCATTCTAAAAATGTATTTACAAGAGGAGATCTCGAGGCCATCTTCTTTTCAGACGCCTCGGAGGGTTGTCAGGGATCGAAGAGGAAGCAAGGTTAGATACGAGAGATTTTGGATGGTTCTGAAGTTTGTTATGGAAGGATAGGTACCTGGATTGGGCCAGATCTGAAACATAACAAACATTAAAGTCATCCTGAGTGGTTTTATTTGTAACAAAGTAGAGGGGGGAGGGGTTCATTGAGGATTTTACAAAGGATTTTGGATTGTAAGGATTGGATACGAGAGGAATTCGATGGTTTAATGTAGCCCCATAGCTCTACTCCGTAAGTCCAAATAGGTCTTATTACAATCATGTATATGAGTCTTTTGTAATTAACTGGAAGCTTAGAGCGTTTGTCTAGTAAGTGCTGGAGTAGTCGGAAACGTCGAGTGGTTTCTTGTCGTTTCAGTCTGGTATGAGGATTCCAAGTTAGACGTTTGTCTACGTGGTGTCCAAGGTATCGGATTTGTTCAACAGGGATAAATGGTATATTATTTATGAATACACATAGGTTTACGATTTTCATAAATTTAAAGTGGAATTAATGGAACTTAGTTATTTGAAACGTTTAAGTTTACAAATTATAATGAACCGTTATTAATCCTCTCTTGTTTCATAATTTTTCGCTGCTTACTTACTCACGTTGTTTTGTATACCAACAAATATTGCCATGAAAACACTATTTTCGAGTACTTTTTTTTTTTTTTTTTGTATGAGTTTAAACTTGGACACATGGCACCCTGAGCTGAAAGAAACATTACTAAGGCGCTTGGAGAAGGATGTTGTAAAGAATGGACTATTCGCCGGTGGTTTGAAAAAAAAAAAATACATCCAAAAATTTATTGATTTCTGTGTGGTGGTCGAAGGCAGGAACAATTCATTTCTCCTTTTACCCAGAAAAAAAACCATCACATCCACATTGTACTGCAGTTATATTGACATAATTCATCAAAAACTTGACAAAAAATAATCTGCATTGGTTAATAGGAAGGGAACTTTACTCTTACACAACGTAAGAGTGAAACCTCACGTTTCACGACAGACAGTGATGAAACTAAATAAGGTATGTTACGAAGTCCTTTCGGAACTGAAGTGGGTACCAAGTGGTACCACTTTGTTCGCCAGACTGATCTTGAACAGATTTCCATCTGTTCAGAAATTTGGAAAACTTCCTTAAAAATAAAATTTTTGATAATGATTCTCAGTTCAAAAACGCTTTTTATGACTTTATTTCTTCACAAACTCCTTAATTTTTCGGTTATGGGATTGAAAAGTTCATGGCGTGGGGAAAAATGTATAGAAAATGAGGGTAAATATTTTGAACAAAAATGTTTTGATTTCATAAAGTTGTTTTACTAAATCACCTTCCGTTTAAAAACTGGCATTTTATCTGAGACGACCTAATATAAACAACTTCACATCCTGATTAACTTTCTGTCTTTTACATCCTCATATCCTTATTTTACTTTTAAACATAAGTATGTATTTTTCTGTATAATTTATTTTATTTACTGTACATAGAGTGTGAATGTGATCTGTGAACACTATTATAAATGTCCTTGAGACAGATTGTAATATTTTCCAATAAATAAGATTAAAAAAAAAAAAACATAAATACATTAGACTTATAGCTTACAGTTTGTGTAATACGAAGAACATTCTCTAGTTGCAGAGTAATGATAACGAAGATTTCAATCCTATCATTTCCGCGATTCAAGAAATACAAAGACCGCTTACGTCTTATCATTTGGAACTGCTTCCTCTGCAGAAGTTCCTTAACATCTTTACAGATGACTATTTTATGTATTGGGGCAATGTGGTGAATAGGAGTATATTGTGGTTGGTATGTCGTAGGCCGCTTGGAATCAGCGCACGACAGGTAGGTACGTCATGTGTTTGTTGAGCACTTGTAATAGAGTGTTAATGCCGTTCTAATATTGATATTTATTTTCCAGCTTTCATTTTTTCACAGCATGACGGGAATCAACGAGAAACCCATCACAAAAAACTTTCGGAGTATTAAGGAAATCAATCATCGAACTGTTTATCACATCAATGCATCAAGATATCGAAGTGACGTTCTCATTGAATTTAGAAGAGAATCGAGAATAAGTAATACCAGGAAGACTAGACACGGCGAAACAGGCAAGAATGCGGTTGGAATAGGCGATGGAAAGCTGAGGAATGATCAACTTTCCAAGGACGGTTCGGCAGAAAAAGTATCTCAAAATCTGAAGGATGATTCTATTCATATTAATATATCCGTGCATACTGATGAGAAAATGGAAAATGTCAATTCAATCTCGGTTATCGACGAAGAAGAAGAAGTGAGTAGTTTACATCGATCTACCTCAAACAATGAAGCTATCAACTTGGAAAAGAAAAGGAAGAGCCAAATCAAATTTCAGTTGGCATCGGCGTTACTGAATCTCGAAAAAGAAGAAGGAAACGATTACGGTTTTCTAGAAAAATACCTTCAAACGAAATTCGACACAATCCAGCAAGACCAATGTTGTCGTCCGCCGTCGAGCGACGAGAAACAAGAAGGGATGCTTCTCCCGAGCGTCCGTTCTCTCCGTATGAACTCGTTCGAAGACTTCGACTCGTCCACGGCTTCAACAATAAGAGACAAAAGTAAATCAGATACGAATTGCTTCAAAAAATTTGCAACATCGAATGTCGATAGTGATTGTGAGATCGGGGAAACTAACAAATCCTGTTGGTCCTCGATGAATAACATGTCTGAAAAGGAAAGCAGGAGTGAAGGGGTGGAAGAGCTGATCCTTCAAACTAGACCGAAGACGTCCGCCGCCAAGCTGTTGTCCACGGGCAGCAGCATGATCATCAATGCCGAGGAGAGGGTCCTGACCCTCCGTTCCTCTAGCAAGCTGGCCCAAGTAGTGTCGCCCCCCTCCAGGACGAAGTCCATCACCCGGGCCGTTCTCGTCAGGAAGCCTTCTTCAGAAAAGGATAAGGCAAAGAATGCAATGCTAAGTGAAAGTTCCGGAAAGGTATATAAAATTAAATATTTATTCAAATATTAGTATATTACGATAATAGTATGATTATCAATAAAATCTCATTCATTACACGTGTTTCGAGCAATCAATGGAATTAAAGCAGTCTACCAACTGCTTCTTGCATTGGCTGAACTGCATTCTATGGGAGAAGGAGGCTTTCGGGATGAAGCCCTCCAAAATGGTAAAATACTACCAAGTTTTACATAAAAAAAATATTAAAAACTATCTCTTAACGTATTCTTGTTGGTGTAATTACATTCAAAAGGACTTTATTAAATTGAATTATATATATAATTCAATTAATATATTTATTTGTATATATATATATATATATATATATATATATATATATATATATAATTCATATAGGTAGTTATTTTTTTTTCAAATTAATTATCGTTTTATATATATATAAATATATATATATATATATATGAAAAACAAAAACTTTCGGGCTGAACTTCCTCCTCCTCCCCTAAAAAAAAATACTGCAGCCTATCAGGTCTCATAAGCAATACCACACATCTAGAATGAACAGAGGTAAATCCAGAAAACTGCTTAGTTTAGAAAACCGTGTTTAAGGTTTTAAACTTTTTTAAACAAAAAAAGTTTACAATTACAATTGTGTATACAATAACTGAAAAGGTTGGGGGAACATTTCCCAGTTGTCCTTTTCACTTACCTAGCGAATGTGTCAGTACTTGAAAGCCTTCAGTGCTCGAACCATGGTTAGTAAGAGAAAATATTACAATTTTTTATAAATAGATTATATACATTATTTTTAGTTTGTATAACTTTTTACATAGTTCATTTTTAATATTTTGTATTGTAATAATAGTTAAGATTCATGTAATATCAATCACTATAGTTTATTATTTACCATTATCGGTCGTATAATATTATATCTCTGATTGTATTTTAAAATTTTCAGCCCTGATGATGACCCACAAGTTTGGGTTGAAACGTTGGCATAAATAAAAAAAATGTATAATGACTGCGTCCTGACTATTTATCATCCATTATATGTAGAACAGTCGACTGGGTAAAATATTTCAGACCGAATCCAACTTCTTTTTAGAAAGAAAATCATATTTCTATTATAAAAATTATTTGTCTGACCATTGTATACTTTTAATCAAAATAGTTTAGTCAGCAAATTATGCACATTCTACAAACATAAATGTTACCTCCCTTCATAATAAATGGTAAGTAATAAACTATAGTGATTTAATGGTACATGAATCTTAACTATTAATACAATACACAATATTAAAAATGACTGTACAGTATAACTTTTCACATATTTCATTTTTAATATTGTGTATTGTAATAATAGTTAAGATTCATGTACCATCAAATCACTATAGTTTATTAATTACCATTATCGGTTTGGGTTGAATAAAATATCGTTGGCACAAATAAAATTTTTTTATAATGACTGCGTCCTGAATATTTATCACCCATGATATGTAAAACAGTCGAATAGCTTCCTTCAATAATTCATAAAGTTATTTCAACTTATCCATATACTTTCAAACCTACCTCCTTAACAAAAGTGGTAAGCCTGTCTATAGGTGACAAACGCTTAGTTATGTTTTATTAAAAAATGAACTGCCTACTATTTGAACATAAAATAACCTGTAGATCAGATATCACTTTTCTTAAAGTGCCAGCTAAAAACCTAGTTGCACTTAAAATCTCCTAAAATGTTTATTAATCGTTCATGAACTAAAAAATGTCTATTATTGGTGCATTATACCTTATGTTTTATTTAGTTATAATAATTTTCTTAGGAATGTTTCTTAGCCATATCCAAGCATTCTACTAAATTATCTCGTTTCCAGTCAATAGAATCGACGGTGGAAGAAGCCCGGGCTAAAATTCGCTCTTCATTGAAGCAGTCACTGACGAGGTTGAGTAAGCTACGTGGATCGCCGTTGAAGGATTCTACGAAGAACCAGAAACCTGATTCGAGATCCTCAAGACCGGCTTGGAGGTACTGAAGGACGGCTTTGCGGGATCAAACTTCTACAGGAAAGACGATATTACTGTTTATTTATGTGTAATTGTAACGTCTTAAACGGTTTTATTTTATTAATAAATTATTGTTCCACTTTGACAAAAATCCTCGAATACGTCTCATGTGTTTTTATTAATTCATATAGTATAGTGGAGACCACTCTTCAACCAGATCAACATCTAATTTTTTAAAAAAAAATACTGCTTTTGTATTTTCTACTGCGACAAAATGATGGTGTTATGCATTATCGTTCCTTCAATGAACCTTATTTCTTAGGAAATCTTTTATGAAAATCAATTAAAAATCACTCCTTTCAGCCAATTTGGTTATAGAAACGCTTTTATAAGACAATAACGTTATTGTAAATTGAAATAGTCCTGTTAAGTCTTTTACTTACTCAGTGTTCAATCGTAACGCTTTTTCTCTCCAGTCAAGGGCTCTGCAATTATATTGTCTCAAAAGAGTCCTTTTTCATAAATTACTTTATTATGCATAGTATTACTTTTTGACGGAACGTTTAAGTGGACTTAAAGGAACAACGATGCATAGCACCTTAAAAATACTTATTCTTTCTATGCAGAACGTCGTCTCATAATTTAAGCGATAAACTTATATAAAATTTACCAAAATTACAAGATAATCAGTTTTGAATGTATGTAATATCTATAAATGTAATTGAACAACATCTTTCTAAAGTGTGACATATTCTAAAGTAACCAACAAAAAAGTACACCATAACTTTAATATCTCATTTGTCCTAGACCTTATACCAGAAAAATTCTCCAAATTTCACCAGAACCTTACCCACCATCCAAATCCCCTTGCACAATCCCTATCCAGCACCATTCTTCCCTACAATCCTCCTCGAAGGTTGAAGCGGCAGTGTCCTAGAGAGCTTTTGTGACTAGGTATGTATTGTAGTTCTGGCTATGACCAGATTCTATACTCAAGCCATGTATGTGTAGTTATAGCGTCTCTTCTCAGTCTCTACTGGTCTTTGGTCTTTAATACCAGTAATGCGGCTGAGTGAAAGCCGCTGGGATCTCCTAGAGTCCTGCCTTTCCTTCCACGAATGGGGAGAAACGCTTGGCTCGGAGATCTTTGGTGAATACAATTTTTTTTAAAATATTGTATAGAACTATGTGGGCATTTGCGTAGTTATTTTCATTAGCTCTTAGTTTCGTTTTGTTTAGTTTAGTTTCTTTTTGATTAATTTAGTTTATATACATTTATTTTTAGGATTATTATTTTGCTGTATTATTAATTTTTATTTATTGTGAATGTGCTTTATTATAAATGTACTTAATTGTGACAGATTTTAACATCTCTCAATACATATGTTTAAAAAAAAAATCAATTAAAATTTGAGGTTTAGAAAGACACCAAAAGTTTACCTCTCTAAGTTGTTTATGATTTATGATTGCAGAGTCCATGTCCATATTTCAGCAACAGTATACGCCATCTCTGTAAACATCTGGTTTATCAGTCTGTAGACAGCTTTCATAATAGAAGGGTAATTTGTGGGTAAGTCTAGGATGCCCAACAGGATAATTGATGTCGGATTTAGGATCAGGTAACCGGTTATTATTTAAGGCCATTGAAAATTTGACAACCAAGATATTTCAGGGATGTTAATTGTGAAGGTATTTACAGAAATTGTGTTTATTTCAACTGGTATGAGTTTATATATAAACGAATCAATATCAGTTGTATTATACCGAATTTACTCTATAATATTCACTTTTTTTACTTAAAATTACTTATATGTATAATATATAGTAACGGAAAGTTTTGCGGTGTTCGAAACCGAGTTTTCAACAGAAATACATATTTTGAGATCTCTGTAGTCCAAATAACTGTGTTCGACAAAATTTACGATTTTTACAAGTTTCTCGAAAACGGTTCTGATAATTTTGAATAAATTCATGTTATCAGTATAAAATTAAGAAATGTTTAATATAATTTTCAAAATTTCTTCTTTTAAAGTAACTTTTTTTTTTGTTATTTAAAATAATTGACCGTTTCCCATTGTAACCTGCTATAAGAAATGGCTAAATATTTAATAAAATATTAAAGAATTTTGTTATTAACTACAGGAGAAAGAAAGGATCGAATTTGAAAACCGAAAAACCCGGGTGCGCACTCGAACTTTGCTGAATGGTTAAAATAGGCTTTTATATGTAACATGTGCTTAATAAAATAAGGAATCCGATAATATATACATATAGACATGCATTTTTCACAAAGTGTTGGTATTATTTAATATTTAATTGTATAAATTACAGCAATATAATTTTTTTTTTTTAAATCAAATACCTATAATGAAATATAGCGGGGTTTTTTTCCTGGAAATAATGACCCTCTTGTCGGACTAAAAATATTTCGTGGCACTGGATTATTTAATTTAATCAAATAAACAATTAAAATAAACTTTCGTAAAAGGAATTGGTTTGTGACAAAAAATAAATATAATATATTAGGAGGGTGAGAAAAATATATGGTAATTAATTGTTTCAAGTTATATTTTCTCCTGTCCATAATTATTAAATTTCATTTTGTACAATTTGAGGGCAATGATAATCGTGAGCAGTTTTTTTCCCCTAAACCCAAAACAACAACAACTTTTCAGTTTCTGAGAACATATATTTCTGCTAAAAATTGAGTGGTGAGTGAAAGTTATGTGATGCGTGATCCGCACAAGGTTTTTAAAATTAGAATAAAATAATTATAATCATAAAAGTATTTATAATTATAAATTATCTAAGCGCATCAAACGTAAGTCAATACACCTTCAACACCGGTTTCTATTGTTGCTGTTGAATGAGCCTATTGTTGAAACAGTGTTTGCTCCGGAATAACATAGTTCTTGTGTCTATTTTTGAACTGTTACATATGGCATGTTGAAAGTGTAATAGAACTGTGTTACATGTAAATTATATGTCCTGATTGATATGTTTCACATCCGTATTTTGGTATATTTTGCCTTATTTGTGTTAAGATTGATAAAGTCCGAGTTTTAACATCGTTGTAATATGTGCCTAAAGTACATGTGCAAATCCCCATAAGTTCTTCTACTACAATAGAAATTTGAGGTATATTGTCAATATACTAAACTGAAAAAATTAAAATATTCTTCCCAAAATTCTATAACATTTTCATATTGTTAACTATGTGTCATATTAGTATTATTAGGTAATGAACAGGGAGGAGAAGTCAAGAGGTTAACTCATTGAGTGTTTTCGTTCCCAAAACACTCCAATTTTCAGAACATGAAGAGATAAGTTATCTATTGTTCTGTAGTATCACGTATCCCAAATTTAAATGGCCTTTAGCTGGAATGAAATATTTTCCTCTCCTTTTCATTATACTCAATCCTTTATTGAGAAATATTACATTCTGTCACTTCCAATGACACTAGTAATAGTGACAGGTACAATGATGTACGATAAATAAAAATAATATTCTGAAATTTAATATTAATTTTTTTATAAATACTTATCACTGTTAACTTAAACTGGATAAATAACCCGAACTAGCTTCTATCACTCTTTTTTTTATTAATGAAATTTACAAGTTATTAAAATTTATAAAAAAAAATATAATAAATATAATAACATGAAAAGACTTGTAGAGAAACTACCCACTGGTAGCACTCTTATTTAAATATTTTTATTGCTTTGAAACAATGGCAGAGAGATTTTTTTTAAATTATATATACGCCTCGGGGAATTATCAGGGATCAAAAAGAATGCAGTGTTAAAAACAAGAGGGTTCCAATCGTTCTGAGGTTTATTTTTATTACTTTAATTTTAAAAGTTTTCTTTAACTAAACTCCTTTCTCAACAGGTCCTTCCATCGCTTTATCACCATTCTCCTCCAACAGGCTTCTGCCAGGCATATTCTACAATGGAAATCTTCTTTTCCTTCTAACATCTTCTTTACCGCCTCGTATAACATTATTAGCATTTCTATTCTATTATCATTCATTCATCGCACGTGGTCATACCATCTGAGTTTTCCTTCTTTCATTACCTTTAGAAGATTCTGTTTTACATCTAATTTCTCTCTTACAGTGAAGTGTGTGACCATTTAGATCCTTGAAATACTAGCTGCTCTACTCAAAAAATCAATTTTCTCCTAGGGACGTAATGAGGGACCATATCTCCGATCTATATGACATTACACTTTCTGTCAATGCTTTGTAGATATTTTTCCCCCGGTGTTTTATTATCATTTTCTTTTCTTTTTCTTTGCATCCATTCTACCATTGCTTTTCTATTATGGGTTCTAGTTAATAGAATTATTCTACTTTAATCGAATATCCTAATGTTGAGTAGATGCTTTCTTCTCTATCCTAATTATATATTATTCATTATGTACTAATTATGCATTTAAGTAGATATTATTCACACACACAGTATTGTTCCAACCATATTGGGGTGGTAATAAATAAATAAAATATAAAATGTTCTAGAAAGTTTTTCAATTTAAGATTTTTTCTTAATTTTTATTTATTGAATAACATAAAACTCATTTACATGAAAAATGATGATAGTGAGATAAAGAATACATTCACGCCATATATACAGAAAATATGGCGAAAACCTAAGTTAAATAATAATCAAAGGTTTATTCAATAAATAATGTAATAACTAATAATGTAAATGTAATAACTTAAAGATAAGCGAAATTTATAATTTAAAAAAAAACGCTACAAATGATTTCACAATGGTTTATTATCTCCAAACAATTATACATCTAAAGTAACATTACCTTCCGAGTAACAAAGAAAAAAAAAAACAAAAGGTGATTCCAATTATTGGAAGAACTGTTTTTCTTTAATTATTAGTAACATGCTAAAAAAAAATAGCATTATTTCAGTAACACATTTAAAATTTAAAAACCAAACCAAGGATATAACATTTGGAGTAGAACGTTTTTTAAAAAACCGGAGACCATAACTTTGCTCCTAATTGTCCGATTTTAACATTTTTTTTTTTTTTTAGGAAATTAAGTAAACTTTTAAAAAACTATATACAATGTCAACAAAAAAGTAAAAACTTTTCGAGTTATTCGGAATTTAATTTTACGACCCCTCGTAACTTTTTTCCAGGTTCTTTTCGTTGAAGTATTTTATATA